CAGTCGAGTTTTATAACCTACAGCACTTCTTACATCTATTGAGTATTATACCAAAAATGGGTGGATGATTATCGGAAGAATGAGAATGTGAGAACTATCAATGTTTCAGTCGAGTTTTCTATCCTACAGCACTACTTACATCTATTGAGTATTATTCCAACTGGGGGGATGATGATCAGAAACAGGAGTAGGTGAAAACTATTAATGTTTCAGTCGACCTTTATAACCTACAACACTATTTTTTCTTTGATTGGCATTTTAGAAGATGTTATTTGATGAAGGTAAAGAATTTCCTGGATTTCATCTTTTTACAATAGTATAAAAGAATAAAACAGAAGACGAAATCCAGGAAATCTATGTTCAACTTTGACATCTGAGTAGATGATCAGAAACAGGAGAAGGTGAGAACCCCTATAAATTTTTCAGTCGACTTTTATAGCTTACAGCAATACTTCCAGCTTCTGAGCGGGGAGTACTATTGCAACTGGGTGTAACATGACATACATACTAGAGTACACAATACATGCAGCATTCAGCGCGAGAACAATTACGGTGGCGCTAAAGACTATAAGAGTAGTGGTAAGGAATATATTCAGTAAAAATAATATTCATCTTGCAGCAACAACATTGGCTAAGCTTGGAAGTAGGCCTCGCCTTGATATCTAGTTGTTTTTTAACATATGATCAACACAACATTGGCGTCTCGTACACACCGTAAATCAGATACAATATTCCTCTTGTGGAAGCAAATTGGTATACACTCTTAAAAAAGAAAGAAACGCATTTTGTTTTCAGCCGTTCATTTCGATATATTTTGACAGCAATCGTCATTAAGACAATTCCTATGTTTGAATCCCGTTAATCAGGTCGTGGTTGTTGTGGATTGCACGCAAACACATCCCAGAATGTGTTTGAAAACGAAAACGATACATGATAAGTGCAAGCAGAAAATGTTTTCCATGTAATGCACCTGCAATGTGTCGGACATGAGTAGAGAAATTGACTATAAAAGGCCAAACCAAATACATCATTTCATTACGAAACTTACGACGTAGACGAAGATGAAAAATGCCAAGATTGAATACTACTGACCGAAGTATGGCCATTGGGCATTAGGTGAGGTGAGGTGAGGTGAGGTGAGGTGAGGTGAGGTGAAATTGGGCTTAACGTCGTGCTTGAGAATATTTCGCTCATATGACGACGTGCATGCGTGTATGTGTGTATGTGTGGCTGCTTGTACTAGCCCAGACTTAAGCTGGTTTTATAGTGCTAGCCCACTGAGATACCATGCCGCAGTGAAGCATGAATACCCAACTCAGACACATTATACTGACTCCGAGCCGACCAGTCCTTGTTGTACCCATTAATGCCGAGCGCCAGGCAGGGACCAACAAGTACCATATTTTAACGTCTTTTGATATGACGCGGTCGGGGATTGAACCCGCGACCTTCCGCTCTCCGTGTGGACGCTCTAACCACTACACCACGGAGGCGGTCTTGGGCATTATGAAGCAGGGGAGTCCCACTCTGCCGTTGCAAGACACTTCAACGCCCACCACAGCACCACATCTCGATTATACACGCTTCAATTCGACCCAAGATCGTCCCAGAAGTGGAAGACCAAGAGTGGCCACTCCTGCTCAGTACCGATTCATCCGGGTATTTCACCTCCGTCACCGGTTTGCTATAGCAGCGGACACTGCAGGACAGGTTCCTGGTCTTCGAAGAATTTCCGACCAAACCATCAGAAATTGTATGAGCGAAGTGGGAATTCGAGCATATCGACCAAAAGTTGGACCTGTCCTGGCACAACTGGTGTCCAATGGTGCAACATGTTACAGACATTAGGAACGACGGGATGGGAGACATCGTGTCTATCAACGCCAACACGAACGTTTTGCGCCGAATTGCTGTCGACAGGTGGACATATTTGGTGGAGAAAGCGTCATGGTGTGGGGAGCCATGTCCTACACGGGTAGATCAAAGCTAGTGGTGGTTCGAATCGCTACATGGACAAAATCCTGCGACCTCATCTCCTCCCACTTTTTAACCGCCAGAGGGAGCTGTTTCAACACGACAACGCTCGACCTGACACAGCTCGTGTGGCAAGTGCCTATCGCGGCAATGCAAACGTCAGTGATCTTCCCTGGCTTTCCTAATCGTCTGATCTGAACCCGATCAAGCATCTATGGGACGATTTTGATCGACGCGTCCGTAAACGTCACCATCGTCCACAGGCACTTTGAGGACTTGCCAGCGCGTTGCAGGAGGTATGGCAAAGAATTTCCAAAGCAAAAATCCGACCACTTGTGCAATCCCTTCCAATGCGGTATTGAGCAGTGACGGCTGCAAGGGATGGTGTCATCAGGTACTGACCTGAACGCCCCCTTGTGTCCACACATGCGCAGTGAGTGAACTGAATTAATTCTAACAATGACAACAATACATGTGGTCATCCGTGTGTCGAATTTCCTTCATCTATGTTCAAACTTAATCGACCAATATACACTTAAATACGTTTAATACAATTCCTTATTTTCGGACTATGCGTTTCTTTTTTAGAAGAGTGTATTTAGTAAATAGTAATATAAAAGCAAAGCTGTTTGACAGAGCAAACAAATGCTAGTGAAAAATTGTGAGTGAGTGAGCGTCTGTTGATATCACGATCATTTTCAATTAACATTCAGTCGTTTTTAAGTTATTTATAACATGTGGAATGTCTGATGGTTAATAGTGTATAGTCATTTGTATCAATTAATTTAAACACTTTTTAGAATCAGCAATACAAACATGTTACTATGCATTCTCTCAAGTCAACAACGCCAAAATACGTCGGCCGGTGTTTGTATATTAATATCAACTTGGTCCTGTATGTGAGATTTTATTTGGAGAAGTAACTTTACTGCCAGACCATTGTACTTAATGTGGTGACAGGTTTGACGGACCTGAATGGCTAGATTAAAACCAGTTACAGTTTGGTGAAGTCTAGAGGTTTAAACGCTGCTTGGAACAGTATTCCACTTACTCTCCAATGACTGAGCCACTCATACACAAGCACCGGTATAGTTCCGACAACACAAGGACCATAACCATCGCATTAGACATGTCCCTAATCAGTTATTACATAGCTGACATGTTAACATTACCATTTATATCTATACTACTAAAAACAAGTTAAGGATAGTCCGGTTCTGTTATTTATATTTTGTCTTGGACGACAGATTACCTTCAGTTAAGGAATGTGGAAAACTCCCGCTATAGCATTAACGTCAACGACAATGCACTGGTTCAACTTTGACGTCAAATTACGACGAGAATCATTTATAGACTAGAATACACTAAACGCCAAAAGAAACGTTACCCTCCTTCCTTAATGCCGGGGGTACCAATCTTCAGCTGGCGTTGTGATGCGTGGACGTCCACTTCTTGGTCTGTCTACGGGGACCCCAGTCTGTCTGAAGCCCTGAATAAGTCTTATAAATGTGATACGATGGCATCCGAGGGCGTTGGCAACGGCATTGTATGTCGACCCCATCTGCACCATTACAATGGCTCTTTCTCTCTCTTCAGCTGTTAATCGTGGCATATTTCTCGTACTTGTGTTTCAGATCATGTCTTCTAGGATCTCTTTATACCCTACAGAATCATTCTACATGTGAAATGGATGCAAATACTGCTTGAATATTGCTGCGTTTTGGCGATTTATATTGCTATGTGTAAACAGAAATGGAAAAATATTACTTTGCAAGCAAAAATGTTACCAAAAGAAAATTTCAGATGTTCCCAAACATCTTTCACAACATCCCAGACACGTTTTACTTGTTTTCACTAATGCAAATCAGCAGAAAATGTTTTAAAGGACTGAAATCATAGGACTGATTATTTGACAATTTTGCGCACTCTACAACAGTTGTTTCTTGTTTTAATAGTTGAAAAATGGTGACTTTAAATGGTTTATCTCTGTCTCAAACAAGATTTGTATTTCAACCTTTAAATCACTGTTATTGGTTTATTTCGGCATGGACGAAAATAGGACCATTTAGCTCTACTGAAAAAGATGCATTTCACCTAAATATGAATGCATTTCAGAACCATTTTTCGTGATTTGCATAAAGCTTTGTTGTTCAGCTTTCTTGTAAACTAATACCTGCTAACATATCTTTGATAGTTTTTAAGTAATTCGTAAATGTAGGAGGGTAACGTTTCTTTTGGCGTTTAGTGTATGCCATCCCTACAACAGTGTACCACGGGATGTAACTAGATAACATAGGTACAAGTTTCAGCTTTGTACATATACATGTATGTACTCTGTACATATACATGTATATACTCTGTACATATACATGTATATACTCTGTAGATATAAATGTATATACTCTGTACATATACATGTATGTACTCTGTACATGCATAAGCTCTATGTCAGCAAAATAGAGGGTGTAGAAATTGCAGCAAAATCGTTTCAGAAACTTGACACCTTGCTGGTTCCAGAACCCATCACTGAGACTGTGAGGTCAAAGTTCCACAAGCGAGGTGTCGAATACTAGCAAACGATTGGATTTGATCGTTTTTTGCATGACGCCATTCTTAGCAATATTCCGATCCCGTTATCGTCTTTAACGACAAGCATGGTTGCCAAAGAGCTTTTCTAAAATGGAACTGTATGAGGTATTTTAGAAAGCTAATCAGTACATTTGCATCTTTTTCTGAAATCAATTTACATTTCATCCCAAAGTGTACATCAGAAAACGTATATGTACTACATGTACTACAATTATTAATTATGAAACTTGATCCGGAGCATGGCTTGGTGTAACGGACTATTGTTAATGAAAGGCCGTTCATTTCCATTAACGTCGATGATTACTGCAATTTACGAACAAAGAGGAAGCTAGTCTTGTATCTAACATATGTGAGGTAACATCCCCGCTGGTGCTGTCCACGTCTGGGACGAAGAGGACTTCGAGGGAGTCACGTCTTGTGTACAGGAAGGGCATAATTCATGCGCAGGCTGTTGAATGTTATGCAACCTGGAGTACGAAATATGAGAAGGTAGGAACGTACAATTTTGTTAGCAGCTGACGCCGACGAATGACTATCAAACATTGGGCATTAATATAAGCAACAAAACATTTTCCATATTCCAGGGGCGTAGCTACCATTATACAAAACGCCCGGGCTTACACATGGTTGTTGCTAAAAAGGTTAGGTAAATCCCGTATACTATCTAAACATAAAGCTTTGCAACCTATCGGGTTTACGCGAAAAAAAATGTCTTCCTACGCGGCTGTATTCGTACAAAATATCTGGTAATAGCAGAGTCTGTGCAATTTCCACAGTGTTATGAACATGTGTTTACGAACCACTATAGTAAATACTCACGATGTCAGGTGAGGTGAGGTGAAATTGGGTTTAATGTCGTGCTTGAGAATATTTCGCTCATATGACGACGTGCATGCGTGTGTATGTGTAGGTGCGGCTGGTTGTACTATAGTCTGTTTGCAGTGAAACGTACCGATGAATTTCACTTTAAACAAAAAAGTAAATAGAAAAAAAAGTGAAAATAAGATTGCGAATCCTCATAATTTTACCTTGCCAATTGAACATTTAAATCTCAGAATTTTATTCAACTTAGGATAAAAGTTGTTTAACAAACGATCATGGTGTCAAACCGCTATTATTGGTTTGTATTACAAGGGGTATGCACATTAGAAGAAACACTAGAACAAGTATGGTTGGTCCAAGTTAACTCTCATCACATATCGCACGTGCATTTGTTTCACTGTTCCAACTACTACGCTTACCCCCTTGTAATACAAACCAATAATAGCAATTTGAATCTATGATCGTTTGTTAAACACCTTTTATCTTAAGATGAATAAAGTTCTGAGATTTAAATGTTCAATTGGCAAGGTAAAATTAAGAGGATTCGCAATCTTAATTTCACTTTATTTGATTTACTTTTTTTTGTTTAAAGCGAAATTCATCGGTACGTTTTCACTGCAAACAGACTATAGACCAGACTTGAGCTGGTTTTATAGTGCTAGCCACTGAGAAACCATGCCGCAGCAAAGCACGAATACCCCACTCATACACATTATACTGATACAAGCCGACCAGTCCTTGTTGTACCCATTAATGCCGAGCGCCAGGCAGGGACCAACAAGTACCATATTTTAACTTCTTTTGATATGACGCGGTCGGGGATCGAACCCGCGACCTTCCGCTCCGGGCGGACGCTCTAACCACTACACCACGGAGGCGGTCCCGACGATGTCAGGTGTACCACTACCCGATATAGTATAATTAATCACTTTTGGTCCATATATGATCAAATATTCAAGATGCATTAAACACAGGTGCTGGTAAATAAAGCTAACATAATGTGCCAGATAAATTTAATAACTTTCAGCCTGATAATTGTTTATAGCGAAGACATTCCAATTGGAAACGGGGTCACCATGGAATTAGGACTATTCATGACGCTCTGTAAGTTATCCAGTTCTATTGGTTTTAGATCACAGTCAGCATTATTACAACTGTCAACGCGTGGATATATGCGTCGACTGGGGCATTAGCTCGGAATTAAGACGAAATGTACGTAGAATACGTTGACAAGACGAAGGAATACGTTGAGCTCAAACTTCTTTAGTTACATGACAAACAAATACACAAGACATAACTTAGGTGAGCAGAGTTCATGCTCAACCCCAGGGCGTTTCCTACGAGCGGCATTATCCTGCTCGTGGTCGTCCCAACGGACAGTCCAAATACCGAACTCGTACTCCTTCTGAGTCTAGATGTGAGCATACTAAGTATATATACAGTTTTTGACAACAATGGACAGGCGACGACTCATCAATGGACAGATAGAAAAAACAATAGCACTTCCTTGACTAGTTGATGTGATGGCAGACACGGCCAAGGGGGATGACCAATAAAGGTTATAAATGACTTATACAATAATTAATGGTCTGACAAGTCAATGTACAATGCGGTAGTGATAAGGATGTACAGTAGTGATTAAAAATACAGCTTAGCGTCATATATATATTACAATAAAGTCTCACATGTCTTGAGTACATAGTTTTTAGTTTTTAAATATTTGGACGATGGCTGTCCTGAATTAGTCCCTATAACACAACTAAGCCCGGTCTTCTAGTACCCGATTGGTTGCAACAAAGGCTATTTTGTTCAGAATCAGGGAAACAGAACGTCTTCATGGCGCCCAGTACATTATCCAGTTTTACTTGTGTTTGGCCACAGTCAGGCATATATCCATTGAACGACTTCTAACTACCCCGTGCAAAGTATTGGTGAAAACAAAAGCTCTTTTCAGAAATCAGGGGACCTAGAACTTGAATGGACATGTCTTTGACGTTAAGGTCATTTTGATTTCTTCAAGCGGGGAATCGAAAAACAAATCTGTCTTCAAACCTGAAGGAAACTGTCTTAAGTGTGATCAATTTCGAAGCGTCGGCATCTTATATGTATTTCTGTCCTCACATGATGGCCATGTGATATTGCCGGAATATTGCTCAAAGCGGCGTAAATCCAAACTCACTCATATTCCACATCGGCAAACTTAATAATAAACATATTACCTAAACTGACGGCCAAAGAAACCTTACAACTGTTTTAAAATCAATTTACTTTAAAAACCACAAACGATAGAGATGCATGAAGTAAAATATGTTGAAAACATTAAAATCACAACAAAATGTCAACATTTATCACAGACAAACAGGAACCGATTCTGGCATGACGGTTCCACTGAATTGAGGTGTAGTAGCTAATACAAGCACCCATAAGAAATTTCTCAAGTTCTAAGAGAAATTACCGCACTATTACAATTTACCGCAGTATATTACATTTTACCACGTTATTACAATGTACGTCGAAGCACACAGCAATAGCGTGTTTGACCACGCCCTCTACAAGACACGGAAATAGTTTCAAGCGCACAGAAAGAGTCACGTCGACTCTGATGTTGTCACCTGGATGATGTCCATCGTCATTCTCCTTGGGAGGGCTTAGATCATATCTTGTCGTTTGGCTGTCGAATGTCGTCGCACACGACATCTCTGGGGTGTTACGGTGATTTTTATCCCCCCGGTATATAATCGGTTATTTCAGCCACATAGCGACTACATTGAATTGAATCAGGACAGATTACTTTGTCCATAAATTTAAACTATCATCATCATCATCATCATCACCACCATCACCACCACCACCAAGGGACAGTTTCGCTCTTTAAAAAGAAATACACTCATCTGAGAAACAACAGTAGTCTCTCATACAGACCCTGAAGCAAATATATCCCAGAAAGCCCATGCAAGTCTAGAAAATGTGTCAAGTCTAGATTTCCACAGCTTCAGAAGAAAGTCTCAGGGCTCCTTTTCATGATATTTTATGTTTTTGATTATGAGCTCTTTTCTGTAAACTATTTTCATTTCAGAGACTAGTTGTTAGTCTAAAACAACAGGAACACTTATACATTTATGCAGACTGGACGATGTTTTGGTTATTGTTACATATGATGCAGAAATAATGTACACCTGGAAGCAAATTTGCCTATTCAAAAGCTACTTTATTTTTACGTACGTATTTATCTATTAATACATAATATATAAAAGATGAATTGTCTTTCTGATTTGCATTTGTTTGATGATTCAATTAGTTCCAGGACGTTTCAATATTAATGAAATAGGAAACCTTTTGATGCATTACATTTATGAGAAACATGTGTTGCGTGAGGCTTCATGGTATCTCATATTGTGATGTAGGCTCTGCATCTTCCGAACTGCCAGTGGGGGCGGTGTGGCAGCCAAGGGGTTCGACTCCCATTTCTGGTGTCCCCCGCCGCGATATTGCTGGAATATTGCTAAAAGCGGCTTTAAACCATACTCACTCACTACAACCCCCTTACCGTTTCGCGCCCCCGTCGTGATCAGTACGCGAGCAAACATCTTCACGCGTTCCCTTGATCGCGATCGTGACGCGAATATACGCGCTGGGCTCGCGATCTAGTCTGTCATACAGACCCTGAAAAAGCTATACTCAAAGCAGCCCATGTAAGTCTACTCACTCCCTCATCTCAATGGACTAGTGAGGCTCAAGCCTGCGTGGTCCCATCACTGATGTTAGATACATTTGCTCAAGATTTTCATAAAGCCACAACCTCAGCTTCAAAACCTTCATTGTCTATCTTTTCAAAATAATAGGGATATGATATGTCGATGATCTGATGCTGTTTACATACCGGTCAAATTGTCAATGATACGCCACAACCAAACTGGCCAGACAGTCCCAGACCGAGACGACCGTGAGTGACCACCCCGCAAGGTCACCTACGCATCCTCCATCTGCGCAACCGGATGCTCACAGTGACGTCATCAGTATCAACAGCATTGGGTCACAACATTAGCAGGAGCACAGTGATGGGTCGACTGCTTGCTGCCGGCATCAAGACCTCTCTGCTATGTCCTGGCATCATATTAACCGAATGTGTCAGTACTGTAGTTTCCGACTCAAGTTTTTCTGGTGTGGAGCAGATAGATCCTTTCAAAGTTAGAACATTTCTCTTTTGTTGCAGTTTATGTAACAAACTGGACATAGGTTCAAAGAGGTATGTGGTTGGTTTCTGATGGATATATGAATTATATGACAAGAGGCTGAATTCAATTGTTCCAGCATATAAAGTCTACATTTCCCAGCTGGTTACGTACTTCAGAGTCTGAATGTTTTTATTTTTATTTTAATTCCATGGAGCCACACCTTTTGGTTTACAGCACTGGCTTCACCATCAAAACCCTCGTCAAGTCAGTTCGTAGATTTAATGGTAGACAATCAAAGTAATTTACATTTGTGTCTTTCTTATGGACAGGACGTTAACTATAGGGCAGGATATGTTTAACCTTGAACACTTGGTGCCATCACTGATTTTCACTGATAAATGTCCAAATCGTAGTACCCCACCACTCATACAATTCTATCTAAGTGTAAGGTCAGACAAAAACAAAACCCCCAAAACAACCCCCAAAAAAAAACCAAACCAAAACCAAAACAAAAAAAACAAAACAAAAAACCCAAAAAAACCAACAAAACAACAACAACAACAACAAACACAAAACACAGGAATAATGATAATAAAACATTCTAATTTGTTACAGTTTGGCAGGAGTGTTTTAAGTCATTACTTAACTCACTCACTCGAAACCTATGACGTTATGAAGCTAAACTTTTGTCTATGTAATCTCGGGCATGTTGTCTCAGATCCGAAGTTGGGATTTAGTGGGAAACATGTCATTCATATGATATTATTTTGCTCCACCGCTGAGAATATTTTACGAGCGATATCTGTTGGTATGTGGGAACATGATGTGGATGTATTTCCTCTGTCGACCCGGCTTTTAAGTTTTGTATTACCCTCTTTGCAAACACGTTTTCAGGTTTTTACCATTTAACCAATATTTCCAGAAACGGCAGGTCAGCTGCAGTGCCTTAATTGGTTTCTATTAAGCCGATGTATTTCAGGATATGTGTCCAGGTCGGTACAACGGACCCATGATTGCAGGCAAGGCAGTTGCTGATTACTTTGAAAGCAACAGGGAGAAGAAGAAGATTCTAGACATTGGTGCAGGAACTGGCTTCGTAGCTGAACAGGTGAGCTTACTGAATCTGGGAGGATAATACAGGGGCTCAACGTCAATGGGGAATCGCCTGAGATTATGCCAGAATTTCATCAAAACCACACATTGGTTCTAAATGCATGCAGACATATAATATAATATTATAATATTGTGTACTTCTACAGCGCTAAATTCCATACACCAAGTGCATGCATGCTCGAAGCGCATACAAACAGACAGTTCATTTTTACCCGGATAACCCGAGCTGCCTGTGAGGCGCTAGAAGGTTATAGTCACACCACTTATCCGACCGAGTACCCATTTCAAGTATAAACTATCAAATATATTTCCTTTAGTAATCCTGCGGAGTTTTTGTTGGGAGATATGGAACAGACCTGTAAGAAACCTGTGCTCACCATGTAACTGATGTTCAACAAGACATATTAAGCATAGCTTTTGTTGCAGCTGAAGTCCCATGGGTTTGTCCACATTGATGCACTGGAGCCCTCCAGCAGGATGCTACTGAGAGCCCAGAAGAAGGGCTTGTACGAGGAGTGTTATAACGAGTATCTGTCTCAGGTTCCCCTGGCCATCCCCAATGGTAAGGTGGTCCTCATTTGAATAGGCATGTGAAGCGGAGAGGCTAAATATGTTAATATGTTGTTGTTTTTAACCTTGTCTGAAGATCAAATGCCAGATACCATCTATTATTGCGAACTTTATGTAGTCAAGAGCGTTTCAGCTAGGTCTGAAAATCTTTGGGATATCAACATGTTTGTCGAGGGTTGTGTTCGATGTATTTTACTAACTGTAATTATTCTCTTTATGCTATATGCTTTTGAAATGTCTAATTTAGAGAAGAGTGCGTTTGGTTTTGTCTATTGATTTCTTTTCAATGCAATTGACTAAACATTATTATTCTCTTGCTATCGCTTTTGAAAGTCTAAGTTAGAGAAGAATGCTTGCTATCTATTGATTCTATTATGTCTGTGATATTTCTATTTTTGTGTGTTTAGCTCTGAAAATGACATTACGAGACGCTGGGTATTTGGCAGTGATGTTTAAATTTGAAATGGGCTCTGAATAACCTTACAGATACATACGACTGCGCCGTCACCAGCGGCGGCATGGGAGAGGGACACATTCCTTGTTCCGGAATTCTGGAGCTGATCCGGATCGTAAAACCAGGTAAATACCAGGTCCCCGTCCCACAAAGCGATCTCAGAACTACGACGATCGTATGTCGTTTTATTTACGTTTTTCTAGGCCACAGGCCCGATCAATATTGCGATTGCGAAATCGTAAGATTCATACAATTTCAAAGCAAAATATATGTATTTAGACAAATTCACAGAGGTAAGTTTATGATTTGAAGACATAAGTCGAACAAATGTTCCAAATGAGGGGTTTACTATAGTATTTATACCTATAGCACAGCAGACAACGGCGATTTCGACAAGCTGGATATTATATCGAAGGCATCTACATAAACGGTTCTCGATGTATTTCGATCATTAGCTGGTTAAAGGATGGGATGCATTAAACGAATAAGCTGTGGGAGTTCCGGATCACTTTTGTTTCCAGCGCTACGACGATCGTAAGTCTATGATGTTGTAAACACTCTTTGTTTGAACGAGACATGAAAGTATCAATATGTCCAATATCTTGCATAACTCCAAGCGTACAATCCTTAAGCGCTATGTTTGATTTTGTGGCCGAAGATCTGTTGACGTCTAATCCATATAGTATTAGATGATTTGCTTCGGTAATCTGTCGTTATTCATGTTGATTATTTTGGCCCAACATTTAACACATTTAGTTACGTAAGAAACATATAATAGAGGTCGTACGACGATCGTAAGTCTATATTAAAGGATGGGAGTTCCGATCACCTTAGTGCTAAGATCGCGTTGTGATTTGCACTTCGTGTTGGTCACGTAATTCTTGTTCTGGTCGTGTTTTGGAGCCACACAGAGCAAGTTTGATACCTCTATATTAGCATGCTTTTCTCAGGTTGTAAATAGATTGGTGCAAAAAGTATTTTCTATAACTTGGACGTAGACTCGGTATTGTTGCAATTCTTGGTATTCCACATAGGACCTAATATTGGCCTTTAAACATAATAATTAATATAAAATCGCACATCAATGTGTGGATCTATTAGTTGTCTCAATCCTTGGATTAACAGTGTAAATGATGGTTTTGTACATGTTAAGTGTTACAATAATAGTTGACATGCTCCGGAGTGAAGTGGAATAGCATTGTCAATCTTGGTGGGTCTTCAGAGGTTTAGGGAGATTTGAGTAACTCTGGAAGTATGAAACCCTTCAGAGGTTTAGGGAAATTTGAGTAACTCTGGAAATATCAAACCCTTCAGAGGTTTAGGGAGATTTGAGTAACCCTGGAAGTATCAAACCCTTCAGAGGTTTAGGGAAATTTGAGTATCTCTGGAAGTATCAAACCCTTCAGAGGTTTAGGGAAATTTGAGTAACTCTGGAAGTATCAAACCCTTCAGAGGTTTAGGGAAATTTGAGTAACTCTGGAAGTATCAAACCCTTCAGAGGTTTAGGGAGATTTGAGTAACCCTGGAAGTATCAAACCCTTCAGAGGTTTAGGGAGATTTGAGTAACCCTGGAAGTATCAAACCCTTCAGAGGTTTAGGGAAATTTGAGTAACTCTGGAAGTATCAAACCCTTCAGAGGTTTAGGGAGATTTGAGTAACCCTGGAAGTATGAAACCCTTCAGAGGTTTAGGGAGATTTGAGTAACCCTGGAAGTATGAAACCCTTCAGAGGTTTAGGGAGATTTGTGTAACCCTGGAAGTATGAAACCCTTCAGAGGTTTAGGGAGATTTGAGTAACTCTGGAAGTATGAAACCCATAAGTATGGCATTATTCAATATAGAAATAGTGTTTGAATGTACTTCATGGGTTTCCGTATTTTGTGATTTCTTTGTTTCAGTTAAGTCCCTTAGTTGAGCGTTTCAAGAGGCCATCCACCTTTTTAAATAAAAGCTTGTTGTAGCTTTAAGCCGTTTCTATCTTAAACTCTTCCGTTTGTGTGGATAAAACAATACCCATTGATTGATAAATCTAAGGTTATAGGAAATGGCAGATTTATTGCAAGGAACTCTTTCTTTTCCAGGCGGAATTATATGCATTGTAATGCGTGAAGTGTTCCTGAGAGAGGTGGATGAATACAAGGATCGACTGGAGCCCCTCATGGACTCCCTAGAGAAGGAGGGGAAATGGAGAAAAGTATCCCGAGTTATTGTTCCCAATTATTTCATAGACATAACCGGCATTGTATTTCGCTACCGTGTTATTTGACTTCACAGTGAATAGTTTCTCACTCACCACAATATGGAACATACGCAGATAAAGATATAGTAAAGTTTAAAGAAATATAATCATAGCGTGTCCATTAATACAGTCCTTTATCAAGTAAAATGTAAACAGAAATGAGGAGATTAAATAAACATTAATTCATTCATCGTTTACTAGGATTTTAGTTTTTCATAGTTGTATGAATTTGAGTGAGTGAGTTTACTTTTACGCCGCGTTTAGCAATATTCCAGCAATATCACGGCGGGAGTTCACTTGAAATGGGTTTCACACATTGTGCCCATGTTGGGAATCGAACCCAGGTCTTCTGTGTGACGAGCGAACGCTTTAACCACTAGGCTACCCCACCGCCCCCATAGTTGTATGACCTGGTCGATTGGCGCTGAATGCGAATCTACATCAAAACGTTGCTAAGTGCAATAAAGTGTTGTGATATACATGTATGGGGTACAAGTGAACTAGCGAGTGGAATGGGTCTTTACATCACGAGGCCAAAGTTCGAGGGATTTACGGGATTTTTGGCTCGACACAGCCCGTACAACCTCGTTGTACATAGCAAATATCCGCTATCACCAATTATTTTAATTTCATTCTGTTTTGTGTATGTTTGTATGTAATTGCAAAGCAGATATGTTTATGGTCACTCAGTCACATGGCCGGTTCCATGGAACTCCGAAAACAGGACATTTAACATATCCTTCGGTCAGTTCCATTTCCTGCGAAATTAATGAATAACCTTTGGTGTTGGTATTGGTAAATATATTTAGATTGATTGAGTAGACTTTAATGTGAAAACCGTCGTCGACTATATGACAGTTAAACCTCAGCAGACTATAAACTTGAATATACATCAAATTATTAGGTGAGGTGTTGCGACCGGGGGTTTGACATCGACAACATGGTTGTACTTGGGAGTTACCTATATACATATGGGCGTGTCTCGCTTAGAAACAGCGTTAGAAAGACATATAGGTGTATAGACCCTACCCTATTAGGGACCGTTCATAATTTATGGCTTGGGGGGTGATGATGATTTTTATGGAGAAGCATACAAGTACAATGTGAATGACCCCCCCAAAAAAAAAAAAAAAAAAATTTAAAAAAATAAATAAATAAAATAAAATATTTATGTACAAAGTAAGTGACACCCCTGCAATTTTTGTACAAAATTGCTGACACCTACCTCCCAAGAACAAAATGGATAACCCCCCTTAAAAATCATCATCATCACCCCCAACCCCCACCCCCAGCCATAAATTATGAACGGTCCCTTACTATCCTTTTATATAGTAATATGGTTGGGTCTATACACCTATATGTCTTTCTAATGCTGTTTCTAAGCGACACACGCCCCTATGCCTAAATACGTGTCTGGGACAGCTACCCCAACTCATGCTCAGTACTTGCCCACTGAGATACAGCTTGATATGACAAATCTGAAGATTAAAATTGAAAATAGTCACTTTGTTAATGAGTAGAAAAACAGATACTTAGTAAAGAGCCTAAATGCCGCAAAAAATTACTTTATCACGTAAACCACCACCACGAACACAGGGGTTCGAATCACTGTTTGGACAATAATTTTTGAAAATAAAAATCCAGACTTTTGCAATCGTATATTGTGTTTATACGTTATGATTAACCTATATTTCAAATTTGAACGAGATCGGTGAAGAAATTGATATTAAAGAAAATTCTACCGCTACACACATTACATATAATACAATATACGATTGCAAAAGTCTAGATTTTTGTTTTTAAAAATTATTGTCCAAACATTGATTCGAATCCTTGTGACCACGACCACCCCAAAAAGTTGTGAACTATGTGCCAAACAGAATTTGCACTCAAAGAAAGAATATTCCAACGTGTACACATGCGTATTGCAACTAGTAAGTGAAGATTTTACGGACGCTTGTATCATTTTGATTTGAACGACGCTGAAGATTGTAAAACACGAAATGGGATATATACTCAGCAGCAAAAAAGAAAGTCAGTACGAATTTAAAATTAGATAGGCACTGTAATCAAATCATTACAGAAATGGACATAAAAAGCGGATCAAAAACATTTTTTGTGTACAATATCTTGACACATCAATGAATAACTCAGCACAATTCCAAGACATTACGTGAACGTTTGCAGTCCATTCAGACCCTTGACTTCAGTATCTAGTGCGACCACCACGAGCGGCAATAACTGCAGCACAGTGTCTATGCATGGGGTGCACCAATCGATTGATGAAGGCCATTGGCACCTTGAACTGCACTCTGGAAAAGGCCTGGCGCAATAAATCGGCTGTGTTCGGCCTTAGTATGACATTATTCACTCTCCTCTGTTTAAATCAGGACCAAGTGCTGGCCACTGCATAATGTTGACACCGTTCTGCTGTAGGATGTCCCGTGTAGCTCTGGCAGTATGGGTCTGGGCGTTATCATGCTGGAAAATGTTGTTCCGGTGAAGTGCGAAATGTGGTATGACGTGGGGTCTGCGAGCTTGGTCGATGTAGCGCACCGCTGTGATGCCGCCTCCGCTCACTGGACCAAGGTTCTGGAACAACACAAGACCCACTCTCTGGTTCAGGCCTATTCCACCCCATACCATGATGCTTGCACCTCCCCATGAGTCTCTTTCCATAACACATTGGTCTGAGTAACGCTGGCCACATCGTCGCCATATTCTTGCTTTGCCATCTGCAGTTGATACGCAGTACCGACTCTCATCTGTGAACAGAACAGTTCTCCATTGCCTGTATCGCCAGTTTTGGTGTTGTAGGGCAAACTGTAGACGTTCACGCCGATGACGAGAGGTGAGGATAGGTCCACGGTAAGGTCTTCCGTGTGTCCCCACTGTCTGGCGTGCTGTTTCGGATGCCTGCATGAAGGGATTCTGTACATGATGTCGCACAACATGGCGGTCTTGTCGTCTTGTGGTCACCCTTGGTCTGCCAGTATGGGGGCGATCATTTGTGGTGTTGGTGGCCCGGAAACGTTGCTGCAGCCTGTAGATGGTCCGAACGTTGACCTGGAAGTGATTGGCAACGGTTTGTGCAGTGTGGCCAGCTTCAAGTCTTCCTAGCGCCTGGTTCCTCTGAGCTGTCGTGAGTCGTGGCATCCTGCTGACGTTGTAATGTGAATGTTTCAACCAGGTTTGGGGGTGCATTTTACAGGGCTGGTCCTTGTGAACAGCACGTGCAGCATGAGTTGCATGAAAAACATGGAGAACACCGTACCATCTCCGAGACTGGTTTGCGTTTTTGAGACCATTTCCTGGGTTTGGGAAAGAAATGTCTTTGCTCAGGTAGATTTGGAAATGTTGTCAAAACTATACAATCAAAACGTTAAATGAGTTTACAGTTATCCGTTTCTGCGAAGGAAGATTCCAAACTGACGTTTCTTTTGCTGCCTAGTATATATTACAGAAAGGGGACATTGTGCCTTATAGCGGAAATGGTGGATATCCGAACAGTGGACACTAGTGTCTGACTGTTATAACACGTATACAGTTCCATTCCCATTAGGTACACACCTCATTTGTAACACTCCAATTTACCCAGTTTCCACAGAGGATATTTTGATTAATTGTGACAATTCCCTGATCAACGCAGGGAATCATCAGTCACGAATATCTGTCGACAACGATCCCTCAGGGCGTAAGATTAAATATATAGATTAAAATGCATGGGTCACTGAATTGTCACACAGATGACCTGGTGATCCATGTGATCGAGTGATTTTAACCAGTATTCAGCAATATTCCAGCAATATCAAGGCGGGGGACACCAGAGTGAGTGAGTATGGTTTTACGCCGCTTTCAGCAGTATTCCAGCAACATCACGGCGGGGGACACTAGAAATGGGCTTTACACATTGTACCCATGTGGGGAATCGAACCCGAGCCTTCGGCGTGACGAGCGAACGCTTTAACCACTAGGCTACCCCACCGCTCCGGGGGGCACCAGAAATGGGCTTCACACATTGTACCCATGTGGGGAATCGAACCCGAGCCTTCGGCGTGACGAGCGAACGCTTTAACCATTAGGCTACGTACCCCACCGCCCCGGGGGACACCAGAAATGGGCTTCACACATTGTACCCATGTGGAGAATCGAACCCGGGTCTTCGGTGTGATGCGCGATGGCTTCAACCATTAGTCTACCCCATCGTCCCATGATTGAATAGACAATACCTACTGTTACAACGCAATTATAACTGAACTAAGAATATATACTCTCCCAAAAAAGAAACGCATCATGAAAATAGCAATTTCAAGTAGCAATTAATTAAAACGTGATTCATTTTACAAAAGGTTTTGCTCTGTTTATGAGTCCTATGGTGTTTATGTTTTGAAGCATCACAACAAAACGCACCATCCGTAAAATACCCGTATTTAACAGCATGATTTTCAATTTCGGCGTGTAGTGTCACAGAATACACAATTCACATGCAATGCACGTGAAAGATGGGGATCAGATGGTCTCAATGATGGGTATAAAAGGTTGATTGCTGTCTGTCGATTATTCACTGTATTTGGAATATTGTTGACGAACGCAAAATGCCACGTCTAAGTGAAGCCAACCGTCATATCGCCATTGGTTTGCTTGAAGCTGGCCAGTCTCAACGTGCAGTTGCCAGACGCATGAATGTTCACCAAAGCACTATTTCACGGCTCTAGGAGAGATATCGCCGGCAGAATTTGGTAGCAGATGCCCCTCGTAGTGGGTGACCTTGAGCGACAACTGCGGAGCAGGATCGCTACATCCGGGTACATCACCTGCGTCATCGAACAGATACGGCGACCAGTACCGCTCGACAAATACCCGGATTGAGGAGGCTTTCTGCACAGACCGTCAGGAACAGGTTGAGAGAGGCTGGTTTACGTGCCAGAAGACCTTATTTTGGCCCTGTGCTTCGACAACAACATCGTCAACATCGAGTTCAATGGTGCACCAACGTTCAGGCCTGGAACCTGCCGAATTGGCGTAGAATCTGGTTCAGTGATGAATCACGATTTCTATTGGAACGACGCGATGGGAGAATGCGGGTGTACAGACGTTGACGTGAACGTTTCGCCGACGCTTGCGTTCCCCAGGTGGACAGATTCGGCCGGGACAGTGTTATGATGTGGGGAGCTTGCCGTAGGAGAAGTGATTTGGTGATGATCCAGGGCAACCTGACAGCTCAACGGTACTGTGACGAAATCCTACGCCCACACCTCCTTCCAATCATTGATCGCCAGAGGGAGTTGTTTCAACAGGACAATGCCAGGCCCCACACAGCACGTCACACTACAGAGTTCCTCCAGAACCACAACATCAATGTGCTCCCCTGGCCCTCAAGATCACCGGACTTAAACCCGATCGAACATCTGTGGGATGCCCTGGACAGACGGGTGCGACGCCGTAACCCTCAGCCCCAGACACTTCAGCAACTCGCACAGGCACTACAGGCAGAGTGGGCTGCGATTGGGCAACACGAGATTCTGAGACTTATTCGTTCGATGCCGAGGCGATGCCGTGCAGTTCTGGATGCCCACGGTGGTCACACGAGGTATTGACTTCAGCGCCACCACACGTCTCCATGTGACACTCAAACTGACTTTCCTCGAGTTGGTGCCAAAGACGGATAAGTCTGCATTCCCAGTGTGCATATTCGATATATTTCATTGACTCATAAAGCCTTCAAGATGTTTCAAAATAAACATAAAAATACAGCTGAGATTCCTATATGCGTTTCTTTTGTGGGAGAGTATACATGTCAGTTATGATAAGGTCAAGGACTCATTAGCTAATGGTTTAGACTGTATTCCCACTCCGATGACAAAGCGAGATTTTTTACCTCGGCCAAAGGTTCGCCTGACCTTAATGACTTACTTCCAAAGAGGGGTCGCTTCAACACTGGACAGAGTTTGTGCAGTTCCAGGTGGGTGTGATATGCGTGTGTTGAAAACGTATGACTGGTCATAATTGCTTTATATTTGATGGCAGAGGGCACTGTCTGAAGCTCAGGGTGTGACCTCACTCGTCCAGATCCAAAAACTGCTTCCAGTTACACTAGAACGACACTTAAAGTAGTTTAAACCAGTGCGGACTTATAATGAGCAATCAAACATCTTTACTACAGCTACCGATACCTATCACAATAGAGTGAGTGAGTGAGTGGCTGAGTGAGTGAGTATGGTATTATGTATGGTTTTACGCCGCTTTTAGCAACATTTCAGCAATGTCACATTGGGGGACACCAGAAATGGACTTCACACGTTGTATCGATGTGGGGAATCGAACCCGGGTCTTCTGCGTGACGAGCGAACGCTTTAACCACCAGGCTACCCCACCGCCCTCCATCACCGTAGAACGTAGGGCAGGTGATTCTCGCCATACTGAACGGACATTTTGGCCACTCGATTCCCTTTTCGGTAACTTATGTCAGATAGAAGGGACAGAGGACAGTGTATAGTAAAGCGCTGAAACAAACGTTAATTACACGTATATGTAAGATAATGTAAAACATTATAACCTGAACACATTTACCATCCATATACATAAATTCGACTTATCCATGTATTCGAGACATAGGTATGTCTATCAGGGTAGAAAAAAAAGATGATCCAGTCCTAATTCCTCGGCCTAAGCATTTGTTTATCTAATGATTTCCATATCACTAATAGGGGCACCTTATTAGTTCCAGTCTGATTAGCACAGACAGTGATTTCCGTAAAATGGCGGAAAGGTGTGAGCCGCGCTGGTTTGTTAATTGGATCAGTTTGCTACACCAATCAACTTCTCATTGACTGACTTCGGCTTATGTATACAAGATTGCTGTTGTTTGAATCTCATGGGACCAAATTTCCTTTTCGAGTCATCGTGTGTATTTATGAGACGAATTCGTGTAACCGGTATTCAAATGATGACAACTATTACAGGGAATGGTCGGGACTGACAGGGACTTCCAGTTATGCATAATATTCGAGACACCGGCATTCGACTCATCGGGATTTGACTGTATTTATGAACCAGAGGAATTACAAAAAGGGTACATATCGTACATTATTCACCTAATCACTGGATCAAAACTGAAAGTGTGAAACATCGTCACGCAGCATGTAAATCAACTCAGTGTTTTGTAAACTAAGCTTGTTTAAATCGGTTACTTCCCGGCAGAATAACTTTAACATTTTGGACCAGCCGAGTGCTTGTCAACATCCACGATCAACTACAGCTTGACTATTGGCTCAGCGGAAGCTATTCATTTGTACAGTAATGACTCGGCTGACATTTACCTCAAGTAGGCCCCACTGTCATTAACATTGCACAGTCATCGCAATATCTACATTTCTGTCCGATTTACAGGCTAACACTTTTTATTTCATGGCCGCCATTATGAAGCCGTGCTTTATACTGTCCGTTGGGGTGTTGGTGTATTTGGGTAAGTCGTGTAAATCAAACTTTAATGTTTCCATTGTGTACATAGTTGTGTTGAAGTACGTGGGAATATTCAGATTCTGACAAGTTATTGTATAATTGTTTGTCTAATTATGAATAATTCACATTAAGCAACTGGTATTTCTGTTTCGGTAAACAATAGTAAATCAACGGCGTCTACAAAACACGATAATTATTTCCACCCAACTGATTTCAATTAAATTAAGTATATTTGATTAAGGACAATTTCTGCGGTTAAAAGACATAGTGATCAATCCCTCAAATTATGAATTCGTTAAAAAGCATTTTTCGTTTCAAATGATTTATTGTTTCTATTCACAATTTAGAATAAAATAATTATAGTTGAGATAAACGAATGTCCAATGGTTGTGGTGACAGCGAGTCTGGTTCCAGTCATTTCGTCATTTACTCATAAATAGTCAACTATCAACTCAGGAGGAACGGAAGATTGATCACAACTCTCTAACCGTGTTTTATATAATTTGTTTAGTATTCTATGATTAGATGCAGAAAAGCAGTGAGGTTTTATAATTATGATACGTATAAGTCTGTTCCAATCGCAATATAATGTCTGGTTCCTGTCGCCGTTTGGATAGTTGAATCAATTGTAGTCAATTATAGCGATTGTAAAGTTTCTTTAAAAAGGTGTAATGCACAGGTATTGTCAGCTGAACTGGCGGGCAAAATAGTGAGTTTTATGGATGCCAACGTCTTTATTACGTGGAACACAACGTTTGTTGACTTCCATAAAACCCCCTTCCTTATGTGTATCAATTCTAAATGCAACGTAACGACAAAATATAGTACAATTGATACTCGTATGTGACGCTAGAATTACAAACGTTATTAAAACATTACCAGGAAGTGATTCAAACATAAGTTCCCAAGCTATTCTATGACACTCGTATCGAATACATCGCTATCGTAAAACCATTCTTGTTTCATTCACTACCATGAAACGGTTCATGGCCGAAGTAGCGATAATCTTTCATATTAGGACCGAACTAAACTGAAGTACAAAAGAAAGTATACACTAATACCAAAACACCAGTTGTGTACTTTATTTTGGATGTCAGTAATTTTCTAATAACTACATTGCTACTACAGCTATATGACGGTGGTATGTAAATAATCGTGTCTGGACCAGACAATCCAGTGATTCACATCATGAGCATCAATCTACGCAATTGGGATACGATGACATGCGTCAACCAAGTCAGCGTGCCGGTCTACCCGATCCCGTTAGTCACCTCTTACGACAAGCATGGGTTGCTGAAGATCAGTTTCAAAACGTAACTTCACGGGTTATATCAGTAGAATTAGAATAATATTGATAATAATATTGATTATGATAAGGATGGTGATGATATAAAAAAATGAATAAAATGTTCAAACGAACAAAACCAAGTACATAATTTGTTGCATGAACTCACATAGATCCGGCATGAGATAAAACAACCTTCATTTAAAGTACACGATTTGAACATTCCACTCTAATCCGCAAAGCATCCCAACAATGATTACACTACACGGTAATCGTCGTCTCACTCACACTGCACTTCCCAAACGTATTATGAAATTCTAGAAAGGACAATGCTGTTTTGTCGCGGTGTCACTCTCACTCACAGAGACCATCCAGTCTCGATCATCCGTCCAAACACATACCACTGGGCGTTAAAGGCAATTAGCGGTGTAAATACGAACAGATAACTGAAAGTCGGTGATGGCACGACGGGAAAGGTTAAAGCGTGACCCGCTGTACCGGTTGCCTGACACCCCACAGCAGTGCCCTGTGACGGAGACAGTTAACATACTACACAACTAGAGGATTGACATCCAAGAGAAATCCTGTTAGCGCATGTACTGATTCTGTTGAAACAAGGCAATCCAAACTTGACCAAAGCGCGACAACGTGATTGTTGGACAGGTTACGTTGTCGCATTTTGAATATAATTATCCTTTAATCTGGCGGAAAAAATATAATAAATAATGTTGAGGCTTGTAGCGGAAAATGTATCTAGATATCTATACTCTAATTCACCGCCTCCCCTGGACTCACATCTAGTCACTGAAAAGAACTTATTTTACTGAAAAATAGGTTCCTAAATTATAATCATAAAATATAACAGAAAGGAGCCCAGAGACTTTCTTCATTTTCTTGAAACTGTGGAAACCTAGACTTGCCATATAATATCAAATATTCGACACATTGTTTGTAAGAGAAATGGGATTCGAACTTTCTTCAACAACTACAAAAGGCGGGCTGGAACAAGCTTGTCAAGTTTCAGCTTCATTGGTCCAGCCGTTTCTGATGCTGTGACGTCACACACACCGAAGTCGACTTTGCTGCCATGGATCCAGTGCACTGCGATTGCTGTCTGTAAACACGACCTTACCGTCAGCCTTCCAACATGATGTTGGCAGCCATGTTTGTTCTTAATGACCTGCCTATGATGTCACAAACATCCGATAGGTTAGTGTGGAGCTAATGAGAGATGAACGACATCGTTAGTACAATTGGAATAAATGAATAGTTAATGGATGAATACGTAATGAGTAAAGACGTTTAATTACGCACTAATGTGTCATTACTGCTTCGGGGGCGGTGGGGTAGCCTAGTGGTTAAGGCGTTCGCTCGTCACGCCGAAGACCCGGGTTCGATTCCCCACTTGGGCACATTGTGTGAAGCTCATTTCTGGTGTCCCCCGCCGTGATATTGCTGGAATATTGCTAAAAGCGGCGTCAACTTAACTCACTCACTCACCATTACTGCTTCGTACAACCGGATCATGGCTGTTCCCTAACTCAGAATAATGCACCGGATTACCTCCCTTGAATGTGTGCCAGTCAGTAGTAAAAACTGTCTCAAGAATGTCCCAGGAAATACAAGGAACAAATCTTTCATTTCCAGCACAACTACCTAGATTACCACGTGTTCTACAGGTAGACAATTGACTTGCCTTTGCGTGTGTTTGGGACGGTGCCGCCGGTGGGGCAGAATATGCTCACAAATACGCGAACAATTGGTATCACATCCATGTTATATTGATTCATAAACAAAATCTCACGGTTGGAATCGCACAAAGGCCTCTGCTTGAACTGAAACTGCATTAATATACGACCACGTTAGGATATGTAGCGCAACATGCTGGCAAAACGTGTGTTGGTCAGCGGGAGGACATCGACGATAGGTTGTTCGACAATGGGTTGTAGTATTTGTTCTGGAGATTTGTTAGTCGTGCTTGAGACGACGGATATTCTTTCACTGCTTCCATGCCGCAGCACCCCACTCAGACACATTATACTGACTCGATATTGTGGAAGAAGAAGCTGAACACTATATATACAAATACAACTTCACAACAGGTTTTACAAAACATATAGCATCTCAGGCAAACCATGCTTATTTGGCATTTGGGGGGTAAAGAAACAATGATCTATTTTCAATTTCTTCAGAATATAGTACGTTTTGGCATTTTTGGCCAAAAGATTGTCGTAGTCCCCCAAGAGTAGCACATATTTGTTCCTGAAAGGCGTCATGATGATTATGCTTGCATCCAGATTCTAATGACAAGTCCATACATTCTACAGGTCAAGTATTTGGTTCCCATGACAACCAATGTCATCACAAGAGATTCCGCCGATGCGCGAAAGCCATATCTAATCTGCAGATTCCAATGATCGAATCCAAGAATCCTGAAGACTTCGGTGACCCACATTCTGTTGTAAAGAAATTCTGCAGGTACGGTGTGTGATAAGAGCATACGGTTAGGTGCTTGCCTTCACTTTCTGGTACTTTGTTTAGAGTTGATAAAGACCATGGACTGATCTTTGGCTATTATGTTTGTATTCAACAGAAAGGCCCACAGAAGTTTGAACTGTGTGTACAACCAACTAGATGACTGCAAGGGTCACGTGAAGACGGGCGGGGTAGAGGACAGAGCTGGGATGCTGTCCTATGTGTGTGGTGAAGGAAGGAAAGGTGCGTGAACGGGTGTGTGTTAATATGGGTATGTGGATGTGTGTGTCGTGTGTCTGTGTGTGTGTGTGTACGTTGTATTTGTTGTATGTGTTTGGTGTGTGTGTATTTGCGTGTTTTGTGTGTGCATTTTGTATGTTGTTTGTGTGTATTTTGTGTGTGTTTTGTGAGTTGTTTATGTTTGTGTATTGTGTGTTGTTTATGTGTGTATGTTTTGTGTGTCGTATGTATTTGCTTTATATCCCTGCCACCTATGTCAACTGATTCTCAGGACCCAAGACCCCCTCAAGCAGTTGTCAAGTTGAGAACACTGACAGTAACACTTTAATGCATGTTAATTACGAGAGTATACATCAAACTGACCCATGCTAATTAGTATAATTATCAAATATGACAATGACATAATTGTAATTGTAAAGATGATTAGGAGCATGTCTGGTTATCACCGCAATGGAGAGCAAAATTGCACCTAATTAACAACATGTGCAATGATTAGCAAGAAATTACCGTGTGAAACACAGATGTCGGTATCATCAAAGTAACAATCAGGCACTCTAACATTTTACATCGTCATTGAAGAAACTGGATGAAACGGTATCCTCCCATTTGTTACACATGCCAGTTGTTACACCCCCAAATACACATAAGGTCACAGACCACTGCACACACTAATTACCTATTAGTGAAGAATGGGATAGTCCATACTCGTTACAGACATAGATAGAACAACGCAACACAATTGATTAGCACTTCATATAATTTTATTGCATTTTATATGCATTTGTTTGCAAATCCATGTATATGAAGTTCATCATTCTTCGATGTCTTTTATCATTTATTTCTAAACCACTGATTCAACTCAGCACATAGATTTCACATAACAAGAGTCTCAACCAAGCTTAATCAAATGTCCGATGGCATCAAGGAAGTCATGTGGTGTCCTGGTACCCTGGTGAAGCTGGTCCTCCAGTCTCTGGGTTCTGTTCTCCAACTCCCCGTACACACGCTTTCTGGTAAGAGGAGCTGCACCGAAGACGATCTGCGACAGCTTGGCTCGGTCTGCGGACTCGATCTTGCGGATGACGGTGGTGAACCTGTAGATATTCGGATGGTCGTGTGGCGAATCCAGGACAAAATCCACCCGGACAAAGTCCACCCGGACAAAATCCACCCCAAAATTGCAACCTAGGACAAAATCCACCCGGAAAAAATCCACCTCTAATAAATTCCACCATAAGAAAAAAAACCTAATGACATGTTTAGTCACAGAAATGAATTTTATTCATATCAGTCATTCATAATCGATAACAAAAACAAAATATGACAATAGCACATTTTCACATTTCACATTTATGAATTATTCATGCATCAATGCATATGTAAATATGACAATAGCATATATTTCACACATAATGAAACATATTTCTTGTTATTATTCCTTATGAATCATTCATGCATCACATCTAGGAACAACAGCCAATTAGGAAAACGTAAATGCTATCAAAACAATGCTTGCAATGCTTGAGAAAAACATCTTGATCAAAGATCAGGACACACTAAAACTTTTAACTACAGCAATTTGAAAAGGGTGGATTTTGTCCATTTTTTCTGTTAAGAAGAGGTGGATTTTGTCCGGGGCGGCAATTTTGGGAGTGGATTTTGTCCGGGTGGATTTTGTCCGGTTACCTCGTGTGGCAAGGTCCGGTTTAGTTTGTTGTGGAAGCCCTCGAGATTGTTGTTAGTGCGTGGTCCTCTGGTCTGGTGGTGGTTCCATAGGTACCGGCAATATCAGAGTTTGTAACAACTGGCATGTGTAACAAATGGGAGACAACCGATGAAACATTAATAATGGTGACTTGACAGCTGGTGTTGAGCTTGCACTGAAGGCACTGGTTCGAATCACAACGTATTTGAAATAAGACCTGTATTCTTTACTTCCTCATTTCATTTACTCGCAGTGTAACTTGACTAAATCTAAAAGCAGCGTTAAACGATGCTAATATTTGTACACTTCTATTTAAGTTTATATTGTACATGCAACAGCGGTAACGTTTCGGCTAATATGATCAAATGGTTTCTACTCCCTCTGATTTCTTTTAGATTTGATTTCCGGGTCGTCCTGTTGGCTGGACAACAACGTTGCTGCCCGGTTACGTCACTGTAAGGCCAAACACAACGTCGACAACATCGCCGCCAGCGTTCACAAAGACAACATCACCGATTCGTACGCGTTCTGCAAGTAAGGAGCCTGCGACATATTTATAATTTCCTATTCATATGTAGCATGAGGACACTTCGTAGAATTCCAGTTAATATATCAGATAGAAGTGAGCTAGTAGGATGTTATATATCTATTACATGTCCTTTTCGTGACACAGACTGTATTAATCTAACAATTAACGTCACCATTGAAACCTTCACATTGAGGTCAGCGTGACCTGAGTAGGATTCCTCGACAAAAAGGTATCACACACGTATACTTGAGATCGAATTCCTGACGTCATCAATCAAGCACCCGGTTCTGAACACGAAAGAAACAAAACAGAATAATATGGAAGCAAAACAACCATCATTCAATAACTATATACTTTCAAAGTCTTCATTCGGATCCGAGTACTGCCGATGCTGTCCCTATTTCACGACTGTATTGCTATCCTAAGATAAAATGGATTTGTAATATAAATGCCTTATATCCCCTAATAATTATTTTTTTAACGGGCTTCCAGGCCCGGCGCTTATTAGAGGCCCCGCGCTTTTGTGCTTACTGGGTATCATTAATAATTGTTAGTGAGCTGCCTTACCCCCTGAGCTTATTATAGATCCGGCGCTTATTACAGGAAATACGGAATATCCATGATTGACGTTAGGTCATTTGTGAAATGCTTGTGATTGTCGTGGTAAATGGCGTCGTCCATGTTGCAGCTCCCTGGACGACTTTGTGTGGGCCTGCATGGGTGACTGGACCATGAAGAGATGCCCATACAACCTGGCGGCCTTCATTATCCGGACAGTCAACCCAGAGACACTCTCGGCCAAGCTGAAGTGCTGACCGTTCTCTTTGATGGATTGATAGCCGTAGTCGGCAGTATTACTGTAACGCAAGTGTAACATTGCTGCAGTATCTACACTTGGAAAGTTGATTCATGGCCAGTGACTGTATTCTGTGACGTCATTTGTTTGATGACGTGGTGCACTGATCAATGACGTACGATTAGGCTGTGTTCCACAAAGCGATCGTAGAAAGGGGCCCTGTTCACATAATTAATTCCTTGATACTATTATAACCCAGTTCATCAACTCAACACATGATCACTGCAACTTTAGAAGTTTATTTTAGTGTTTATGAAACCAACCATCGTAACATGCCAGCATTGTCTGATGAGTTTCTTAGCTACGATCCCCGTTGATGTGTCTGACATATTATATTCCCCGATTGTTTCTTTTGACAAAAGTAACAATGGTTGCTCTGTTTCCGTGTAACTATTACAGCAATAAATACATTAATACAGATGATGTTACTGCTGATGTTTGATCCAGTGGATGTTATGAGTTCAGTTGATAACTGGAGATGTTTCACCCGGCTGATGTTACTTGTGACGCTTGATCCAGTTGGTGTTATGAGTGATATTTGGTTCAGTTGATATTACTGGAGATGTTTCACCTAGTTGATGTTACTAGTGACGTTTGATCCAGTTGATGTTATGGGTGATATTTGGTTCAGTTGGTATAACTGGAGATGTTTCACCCGGCTGATGTTACTTGTGATGTTTGATCCAGTTGATGTTATGAGTGATATTTGGTTCAGTTGATATTACTGTAGATGTTTCACCCGGCTGATGTTACTTGTGATGCTTGATCCAGTTGGTGTTATGAGTGTTATTTGGTTCAGTTGGTATAACTGGAGATGTTTCACCCGGTTGATGTTACTAGTGATGTTTGATCCAGTTGATGTTATGAGTGATATTTGGTTCAGTTGATATAGCTGGAGATGTTTCACCCGGTTGATGTTACTTGTGACGCTTGATCCAGTTGGTGTTATGAGTGATATTTGGTTCAGTTGATATTACTGGAGATGTTTCACCTAGTTGATGTTACTAGTGACGTTTGATCCAGTTGATGTTATGAGTGATATTTGGTTCAGTTGGTATAACTGGAGATGTTTCACCCGGCTGATGTTACTTGTGATGTTTGATCCAGTTGATGTTATGAGTGATATTTGGTTCAGTTGATATTACTGTAGATGTTTCACCCGGCTGATGTTACTTGTGATGCTTGATCCAGTTGGTGTTATGAGTGTTATTTGGTTCAGTTGGTATAACTGGAGATGTTTCACCCGGTTGATGTTACTTGTGATGTTTGATCCAGTTGATGTTATGAGTGATATTTGGTTCAGTTGATATTACTGGAGATGTTTCACCCGGCTGATGTTACTTGTGATGTTTGATCCAGTTGATGTTATGAGTGATATTTGGTTCAGTTGATATTACTGGAGATGTTTAACCTAGTTGATGTTACTAGTGACGTTTTATCCAGTTGATGTTATGAGTGATATTTGGTTCAGTTGGTATAACTGGAGATGTTTCACCCAGCTGATGTTACTTGTGATGTTTGATCCAGTTGATGTTATGAGTGATATTTGGTTCAGTTGATATTACTGGAGATGTTTCACCTAGTTGATGTTACTACCGATGTTTGATCCAGTTGATGTTATGAGTGATATTTGGTTCAGTTGATATTACTGTAGATGTTTCACCTAGTTGATGTTACTTGTGATGTTTGATCCAGTTGATGTTATGAGTGATATTTGGTTCAGTTGATATTATTGGAGCTGTTTCACCCGGCTGATGTTACTAGCGATGTTTGATCCAGTTGATGTTATGAGTGATATTTGGTTCAGTTGATATTACTGGAGATATTTCACCTGGCTGATGTTACTAGCGATGTTTGATCCAGTTGATGTTATGAGTGATATTTGATCCAGTTGATGTTATGAGTGACATTTGGTTCAGTTGGTATAACTGGAGATGTTTCACCTGGTTGATGTTACTACTGATGTTTGACCCAGTTGATGTTATGAGTGATATTTGGTTCAGTTGGTATAACTGTAGATATTTCACTTGGTTGATGTTACTAATGGTGTTTGATCCAGTTGATGTTATGAGTGATATTTGGTTCAGTTGGTATAACTGGAGATGTTTCACCTGGTTGATGTTACTGGTGATGTTTGATGCAGTTGATGTTATGAGTGATACTTGGTTCAGTTGATATAATTGGAGGGGCGGTGGGGTAGCCTAATGGTTATAGCGTTGGCTCGTCACGCCGAATGACCCGGGTCGAATCCCCACATGGGTACAATGTGTAAAGCCCATTTCTGGTGTCCCCCGCCGTGATGTTGCTGGAATACTGCTAAAAGCGGCGTAAAACCAAACTCAGTCAGTCAGTGATATAATTGGAGATGTTTCACCCGGCTGATGTTACTAATGGTGTTTGATCCAGTTGATGTTATGAGTGATATTTGGTTCAGTTGATATTACTGTAGATGTTTCACCCGGCTGATGTTACTTGTGATGCTTGATCCAGTTGATGTTATGAGTGATATTTGGTTCAGTTGGTATAACTGGAGATGTTTCACCCGGCTGATGTTACTTGTGATGTTTGATCCAGTTGAGGTTATGAGTGATATTTGGTTCAGTTGATATTACTGTAGATGTTTCACCTAGTTGATGTTACTAGTGATGTTTGATCCAGTTGATGTTATGAGTGATATTTGGTTCAGTTGATATTACTGGAGATGTTTCACCTAGTTGATGTTACTAGCGATGTTTGATCTAGTTGATGTTATGAGTGATATTTGGTTCAATTGGTATAACTGGAGATGTTTCACCCGGCTGATGTTACAAGTGATGTTTGATCCAGTTGATGTTATGAGTGATATTTGGTTCAGTTGATATTACTGTAGATGTTTTACCTAGTTGATGTTACTAGTGACGTTTGATCCAGTTGATGTTATGAGTGATATTTGGTTCAGTTGGTATAACTGGAGATGTTTCACCCGGCTGATGTTACTTGTGATGTTTGATCCAGTTGATGTTATGAGTGATATTTGGTTCAGTTGATATTACTGAAGATGTTTCACCTAGTTGATGTTACTAGCGATGTTTGATCCAGTTGATGTTATGAGTGATATTTGGTTCAGTTGATATTACTGGAGATGTTTCACCCGGCTGATGTTACTAGTGATGTTTGATCCAGTTGATGTTATGAGTGATATTTGATCCAGTTGATGTTATGAGTGATATTTGGTTCAGTTGGTATAACTGTAGATGTTTCACCTGGTTGATGTTACTAATGGTGTTTGCTCCAGTTGATGTTATGAGTGATATTTGGTTCAGTTGGTATAACTGGAGATGTTTCACCTGGTTGATGTTACTGGTGATGTTTGATGCAGTTGATGTTATGAGTGATACTTGGTTCAGTTGATATAATTGGAGGGGCGGTGGGGTAGCCTAATGGTTATAGCGTTGGCTCGTCACGCCGAATGACCCGGCTGATGTTACTTGTGATGCTTGATCCAGTTGGTGTTATGAGTGATATTTGGTTCAGTTGGTATAACTGGAGATGTTTCACCCGGCTGATGTTACTTGTGATGTTTGATCCAGTTGATGTTATGAGTGATATTTGGTTCAGTTGATATTACTGGAGATGTTTCACCCGGTTGATGTTACTTGTGATGTTTGATCCAGTTGATGTTATGAGTGATATTTGGTTCAGTTGATATTACTGGAGATGTTTCACCTAGTTGATGTTACTAGTGATGTTTGATCCAGTTGATGTTATGAGTGATATTTGGTTCAGTTGATATTACTGTAGATGTTTCACCCGGCTGATGTTACTTGTGATGCTTGATCCAGTTGATGTTATGAGTGATATTTGGTTCAGTTGGTATAACTGGAGATCTTTCACCCGGTTGATGTTACTTGTGATGTTTGATCCAGTTGATGTTATGAGTGATATTTGGTTCAGTTGATATTACTGGAGATGTTTCACCTAGTTGATGTTACTAGTGACGTTTGATCCAGTTGATGTTATGAGTGATATTTGATCCAGTTGATGTTATGAGTGATATTTGGTTCAGTTGGTATAACTGGAGATGTTTCACCCGGCTGATGTTACTTGTGATGTTTGATCCAGTTGATGTTATGAGTGATATTTGGTTCAGTTGATATTACTGGAGATGTTTCACCTAGTTGATGTTACTAGTGACGTTTGATCCAGTTGATGTTATGAGTGATATTTGGTTCAGTTGGTATAACTGGAGATGTTTCACCCGGCTGATGTTACTTGTGATGTTTGATCCAGTTGATGTTATGAGTGATATTTGGTTCAGTTGGTATAACTGGAGATGTTTCACCCGGCTGATGTTACTTGTGATGTTTGATCCAGTTGATGTTATGAGTGATATTTGGTTCAGTTGATATTACTGGAGATGTTTCACCTAGTTGATGTTACTGGTGATGTTTGATCCAGTTGATGTTATGAGTGATATTTGGTTCAGTTGATATTACTGGAGATGTTTCACCTAGTTGATGTTACTAGTGATGTTTGATCCAGTTGATGTTATGAGTGATATTTGGTTCAGTTGGTATAACTGGAGATGTTTCACCCGGCTGATGTTACTTGTGATGTTTGATCCAGTTGATGTTATGAGTGATATTTGGTTCAGTTGGTATAACTGTAGATGTTTCACCTAGCTGATGTTACTTGTGATGTTTGATCCAGTTGATGTTATGAGTGATATTTGGTTCAGTTGATATTACTGGAGATGTTTCACCTAGTTGATGTTACTAGTGATGTTTGATCCAGTTGATGTTATGAGTGATATTTGGTTCAGTTGATATTACTGGAGATGTTTCACCTAGCTGATGTTACTAGCGATGTTTGATCCAGTTGATGTTATGAGTGATATTTGGTTCAGTTGATATTACTGGAGATGTTTCACCCGGCTGATGTTACTAGCGATGTTTGATCCAGTTGATGTTACTGGTGATGTTTGATGCAGTTGATGTTATGAGTGATACTTGGTTCAGTTGATATAATTGGAGGGCGGTGGGGTAGCCAAATGGTTATAGCGTTGGCTCGTCACGCCGAATGACCCGGGTCGAATCCCCACATGGGTACAATGTGTAAAGCCCATTTCTGGTGTCCCCCGCCGTGATGTTGCTGGAATATTGCTAAAAGCGGCGTAAAACCAAACTCAGTCAGTCAGTGATATAATTGGAGATGTTTCACCCGGCTGATGTTACAAGTGATGTTTGATCCAGTTGGTGTTATGAGTGATATTTGGTTCAGTTGGTATAACTGTAGATGTTTCACCTGGTTGATGTTACTGGTGATGTTTGATCCAGTTGATGTTATGAGTGATATTTGGTTCAGTTGGTGTTATGAGTGATATTTGGTTCAGTTGGTATAACTGGAGATGTTTCACTCGGTTGATGTTACTAGTGATGTTTGATCCGGTTGATGTTATGGGTGATATTTGGTTCAGTTGGTATAACTGTAGATGTTTCACCCGGTTAATGTTACTACTGATGTTTGATCCAGTTGATGTTTTGAGTGATATTTGGTTCAGTTGGTATAACTGTAGATGTTTCACCCGGTTGATGTTACTACTGATGTTTGACCAAGTTGATGTTACTAATGATATTTGATCCAGTTGATGTTATAATTACTTTTGTATGATTCAGCTGATAGGGATGTTTTACCCAGTAGATGTTACTAGTGGTTTGATGTAATTGACGATGATGTTTGATCTGGTTGTTGCTGATGATGTTTCTTTGCGTTCTGCTGTTGTACTGTTTTCATGGGTCGTTGTTCATGTTATTGAATAGTCCGAACTGTATTCATCAAATACATGTATTTCTGTTGGAAATTCCACGCCTACATACTACAACCTATATACTGACACCTCTTGGTATAATAACGATGATAGGGATATATTACTGACAAAAACTAAAAGCAGATCACAGCATTCAAATGTTAACAGGATGGAACTCACGGCTTCAAGTATAACCTGACGTTTATTGAATACTGGTATCAAAGAATATAATTGGCAAAATTTACTAATCATACCATCCAGTCTATTGAATACTACCTCTCGTCGTAGACAAAAGGCCACTGCGGGTTCTGAGTGCGATAACGGTGTCATAGTTGAACAAATCCAGAGTAAATACTTCTCCGATCCCAGGAGAGCAACAGGATGCTGAGTGCAGCGTTTCGTTCTTGCCTACGGGTAGCCTGGTAGTTAAAGCGTTCGCTCGTCACGCCGAAGACCCAGGTTCGATTCCCCACATGGGAACAATGTGTGAATCTATCTGTGGTGTCACCCGTCGTGATATTGTTAGAATATTTCCAAAAGCAGCGTAAAACTAAATTCACTCACTCACTCTTACCCATGTATATCGATACATACAGGTAACTTGGGGTCATAACTCGTACAGCCATGTGGAGCGTTTGTCACTCTAAATCTTTATGCATATATAGAGCGACATGGAGGTTAGTAATGGTGACTAGGTTAACTGCGTGTCATCGTGCCCTGGCGACGTGGATTGTTCGTCATAACATCAACCACTGGTTTGCCTGTTCGAGAGACTCGAGTACCGTATTTCCTCCAATAAGCGCCCGGGCGCGTATTTTTTCAACGGACTTCCAGACCCGGCGCTCATTAGAGGCCCGGTACGTTTTCCGTTTAGTTGGTATAATTACCATAATTGTTAGTGAGCTGCTTTAACCCCGGGCCTTTTTAGAGGGTCCGGCGCTTATTAGAGAAAATACAGTATTTACTGTCCGCCGTTAGGGTATTGCTGACAGGGATGTCAAACAACGAACAAACGAAAACTAGCACCGTGATAGAAAATGACAAAAGGCTTTAATATATGAAATATAGAAGTTTTTTCTGAATAGTGAATACAATATTGCAGTAATTCTGAACTCGGGTTGATGGAGATCCCATTCAGGGTGTTACTTTCTTCGTAGCACGTCGACAATAGCTCCTAGAAAATGAACAAAATTATGTCATTAGTCAACATATGATTTATGGTGAATGATAAATTAAATATATTGCGATTTGGGTGGCAATGTAGCTGAAACACTTTTCAAAGAGACTGTCAAAGAGACTGTCAAAGAGACTGGAAGACATCCTCAAATACTGTAATCATGCAGTTTCTGCAAACTAGATTCACTTTACATATTCGGTTCATACATTCGGTCGTGACATTGCATAATTATGTCCAGCGGTAATTCTGACATATGTCCGCTTTCTAACAGATTTTAACTATCTTTAAGGTATAAATTTTCTGACAGTTTTCTGCTTTCTGATAGATTGCTTTTTGATAGATTGCTAGGCTACTTTCTGAGAGATTTCTACTTTCTGATAGATTTGCAGCTTACGGGCAGATTTCTATTTCTGATACGTTTCAGCTTTCTGATAGATTTCTACTTTCTGAGAGATTTCAGCTTTCTGAGAGATTTCTACTTTGTAACAGATTTCTACTTTCTGAGACGTTACTGCTGTGCCTAAAGTTAGCGACTTACGTATGGCTCTAGTGTGAAGGTGACATCCCATCATGTCTGCTGCGGGCCGAATGCTTCTCCTGAATAACTCCTGCATAAACCACGCGGCGTCCTCTGAGCAGACAGTTTTGCTTTTTATTCTGTCACCGATACACCGAATGAAGTCGTTGGTGACGCTGTGAGAAAAAACAAGGCATATCCTGTATATCCCTAATAGCTGACGTCCCTCTTCAGGTAAACAGTTAACAAAAGCGTTACTTTTACCTAGTTTAAAACACACCCCCCACCCCCAGTTTAAAACCCCCGGATACTTATTGATTTATAATATACTTTACCTTCCTAAACATGTCTTTTAATTGCGTAGTTGCAGATTATTTTACAATTAACTGACCCTTTTAACTGTCTAGGCTGGGTATGAAGTTTGAAAAAGGTTAATGAAGAGTTGACAACAACATTATTTTATAACAATAATGGTGAAAAATATCGGGAAGGATTGTATATAGGTTAGGAAATGAGAGAAAATCGACCAAATTTACTAGTTATTCAATATGTACCACAGTATACAGCGAATCCTTCTGTAAACAAAAATCCTTTCTTGAATTGTTGACGAGATAAAAAACGTGATCTCACACATTTCCACTCTTTGTAAACAGACAAAAAAGTCAAATGAAGAATTATTTGCTGAAACCTCTCTTGGTACAGACACTCAGATAACTTACATTGGCACCGATGTTAATCCAGGGCTCGATTTAAGAGATGTTCACCTACTTGCACCAGGTGCAACCTGAGATGAAAGACTAGTTGCACTGACCAAATTCATGTTGCACTGCTTTTATTGTGATTTGTAATGAAAGAAATATGCTATTGAATTATTTAGGTGTTTTATTCAGAGTTTTACCCACTCAAAAATTAACCTGGTGCAAGTTAGACTAAAAACTAGGTTGCATTTTGCAATATTGGGATTGCACCAGTGCAAGTAACAAAGCACTTAATCGAGCCCTGTTATCTCTGTCATAGTCTCTGTATTTATGTTTCATCATTTATTTGCGAACTGAGTTGATATACAAGGTAGGCTTCTGCGTGGACTCCAGAAACTAGATTCATACTCCTACTGTCTTTGGGGCGGTGGGGTGGCCTAGTGGTTAAAGCGTTGGCTCGTCACGCCGAAGACCCGGGTTCGATTCCCCACATGGGCACAATGTGTTAAGCCCATTTCTGGTGTCCCCCGCCGTGAAATTGCTGGAATATTGCTAAAAGCGGCGTAAAACTAAACTCAGTCAGTCAGTCAGTCCTACTGTCTTTTAATTCGATACACGCGCTTTATGTGGTTTGTTGTTTTACGTTGTCATCCAGCAATATTCCAGCCATGTGACGGCAGTCTGTAAACAGTCGAATCTTGATCAGTCAATCCAGTGGTTAACATAATGAACACCGATCTACTCAATTGGAATACCATAAGATGCATTAACGAAGCTTCATGACCCCGTAGTCGCTTATTACAACAAACATGCTATGCGCTAGGACAACTGAAACCCGAATCTTCACGAACCGGGCTGGATTAAATGAGCACGTGTCCTTCATAGTCGACGCGAATAAGGAAATACCCAGCCAGCTACAAAGAATTTCGGAATAACGCTCACAGGTGATGAATGGAGTAATCGGTGAACGTCACCCTCGAGAAGATTAATCCATATAGCACTCACTTTAGTGAAAGAAACGTGTGTAATATCTAGTAGTTATATAGTGAATGGTGTATAGTAATATGGCAAAGGGACATTACCGTGAGGGAGGCATGGTTGTATAGGCGTCAATTACTGTACATGCTACAATATCTACAGAGAACACCCTCCCCCCTTCCCACCCCCACTCCCATATATACCCTCCTGTTGAGATGACGTATGACATCAATCTCTGACGTCATGTACAATGTACGACGTCATGTTGTATTGGTCTCGACAATGAAGCCCCGTGATAATGTGGATTCGACTGACCAAAGAGCATTGAAAACTGATGACGAGTATAAATCTGAAATGCAAATATCTGAAACCCTTACACTTGATGTGTCTACATACATGGGTGATGTCACCGTTTTGGGGTACTTACCTACAAAAGCCGTTATAGCCCATTCTGGCAAATTCTGCTTCCATGATCTCCGAACACCCTAGAATATCCGAGGTGAAATCTTCGTGGGCCCAGCAGTCGGACTCCGACAGCATGACTGGACAGAGACATTACTGCATATATATGGTGATGACTGTATATGGTGAGATATGACTGTATATGGTGATTATATGACTGTATATGGTGAGATATGACTGTATATGGTGATGACTGTATATGGTGAGATATGACTGTATATGGTGAGATATGACTGTATATGGTGAGATATGACTGTATATGGTGAGATATGACTGTATGTGGTGAGGGAGTGAGATATGACTGTATATGGTGAGATATGACTGTATATGGTGATGACTGTATATGGTGAGGTATGACTGTATATGGTGAGATATGACTGTATATGGTGATTATATGACTGTATGTGGTGATATATGACTTTATATGGCGATATATGACTGTATATGGTGAGATATGACTGTATATGGTGAGATATGACTGCATGTGTTGAGGGACTGAGATATGACTGTATATGGTGAGATATGACTGTATATGGTGATGACTGTATATGGTGAGATATGACTGTATATGGTGAGATATGACTGTATATGGTGATTATATGACTTTGTGGTGATATATGACTGTATATGGTGAGATATGACTGTATATGGTGATGGAGTGAGATATGACTGTATATGGTGAGATATGACTGTATATGGTGAAATATGACTGCATGTGGTGAGATATGACTGTATGTGGTGAGCTATGACTGTATATGGTGAGATATGACTGTATATGGTGAGATATGACTGTATATGGTGAGATATGACTGTATATGGTGAGATATGACTGTATATGGTGAGATATGACTGTATATGGTGAGATATGACTGTATATGGTGAGGTGACTGTATGAGATATGACTGTATATGGTGAGATATGACTGTATATGGTGAGATATGACTGTATATGGTGAGATATGACTGACTGACTGTATATGGATATGACTGAGTGATGACTGTATATGGTGAGATATGATGACTGTATATGGTGAGATATGACTGTATATGGTGATGACTGTATATGGTGAGATATGACTGTATATGGTGAGATATGACTGTATATGGTGAGAAATGACTGAATATGGTGAGTTATGACTGTATGTGGTGAGGGAGTGAGATATGACTATATATGGTGACAGAGTGAGATATGACTGTATATTGTATATGGGGAGTGAGTGAGATATGACTGTATATGGGGTGTGTGTGAGATATGACTATATAGTGAGGGGTGAGATATGACTGTATATGGGGAAGGGGGTGAGATATGGCTATATGGTGAGGGGTGAGATATGACTATGTGGGGAGGGGTGAGATATGACTATATGGTGAGGGGTGAGATATGACTGTATATGGGGAGGGGTGAAACATGACTGTATAAGGTGAGGGAATGAGATGTGACTCTATGTGGTGCTCGTAAATTAATTACAACCTTTTTCTTGGTATACAGTTAGTTTTTAATATATGAAGTTTCTTCGAAAACTTACTTTCAAGACCCTCGCCACACACATAGTCAAAAGTGTTGGCCATCATAGTCGCCAATATTTCTCCGCCCTCTCCACATTTCCTCATCTCGTCTTTGAAACAACTGTTAGCTACTGCAACATCTCTGGAAGCATGGATGTAGAAAATACACAGGTCTCACTGTAGGTCACGTAGCCGCCTTTGACAAGTATAGGTTGCTGGGGACTATTCTAAATCGAACACTCGGGTGTCATGGTGTAATTCCTTGGTCTCGATCGAGGCATGCAGGTATTCTATGCCAAATCAATGATCGACTCCGTAGCGGATAGCGCGTCCGCTTTGAAGGCATAAGTTCGGGGTTCGAATCCCGGCCGCACCATTGCTGGATATTGCAAATGGCGTCGTAAAACTACCCTCACTCACACTTACTATATAAAGCGAATTTTTCGTTATTTCAGTTTTTTTGTTATTTTTCGACAATTCGGCTTTTTTCTCTTTATTTGGATAATATCCTCGTAAGTATTTCATCGTTGTATTATTATGCTGTTTTTAAAAATGTCGAGATAAAAAGACATTTCAGTTTTAAAAACTTATTTTTGTCACTCAAATGACACCAATAAGCTTTCGTGTTATAAAACACCACAGTGTTTTGTTTGACAATATTCTGTAAACGTTACCTGCACGACTCCTCGATGTTATCAAACACATTGTCCCCGCTTGGAGGCTGCATTTGGCTTACATTCATTAGGGAGCCGTAGCAACTTTGTTGTGACGTCATGATGGTCGCTTGATCACAGCCTCCGGCAAACGCCTGCCGTCGAGCCAGGAAGGAGGGACTGCTTGCTGAAACAGAGTGAGTGAGTGAGTGAGTGGTTTAACGTCGCTTTGAAGTGTATTCAAGTTATATAACGGCGTGTAAGAATAATCTACATAATGTGTGACAAAGAGCACCGAGTAAAACGGACCTCAGACGTATACCCCTTTCGTGAATTGGGAGTTTGGCGTGTTTCTTTGGGTTGTCAGTATGTGTTTGTGTCAGGGTTACTTGTGTGTGATCTCAGTGTGTGCACACACAGATACATATATATATATAAAGAGAGAGAGTGTGTGTGTGTGTGTGTGCGCGCGCGTGTTGTCAGTATATGTTTGCTGGTATAGTGTTGTGTTGTGGTGTTGTTGGTCTGTGCTTGTACATGTGTGTTTGTTGGTATAGCGTAGTGATAGTTTTGTTTGTGTGTGGTTGTAAATGTATGTTTGTTAGTATAGTGTTGTTTGTGTGTGGTTGTAAATGTATGTTTGTTGGTACGTCGGTGATAGTGTTGTTGTAAATGTATGTTTGTTGGTATAGCGGTGATAGTGTTGTTTGTGTGTGGTTGTAAATGTATGTTTGTTGGTATAGCGGTGATAGTGTTGTTGTTATAAATGTATGTTTGTTGGTATAGCGGTGATAGTGTTGTTTGTGTGTGGTTGTTGTTGTTAATAGTGTGTTTGTTTGTAAATGTATGTTTGTTGGTAGTGTTGTTTGTGTGTGGTTGTAAATGTATGTTTGTTGGTATGGCGGTGATAGTGTTGTTTGTGTGTGGTTGTAAATGTATGTTTGTTGGGTATTTGTAAATGTTGGTTGTTTGGGCGGTGATAGTGTTGTTTGTGTGTGTTGTTGTATGTTTGTTGTATGTTTGTTGGTATAGCGGTGATAGTGTTGTTGTTGTAAATGTATGTTTGTTGGTATGGCGGTGATAGTGTTGTTTGTGTGTGGTTGTAAATGTATGTTTGTTGGTATAGCGGTGATAGTGTTGTTGTTGTAAATGTATGTTTGTTGGTATAGCGGTGATAGTGTTGTTTGTGTGTTGTTGTAAATGTATGTTTGTTGGTATGGTGTTGATGTAGTGTTGTTTGTGTGTGGTTGTAAATGTATGTTTGTTGGTAGTATAGTGTTGTTTGTTGTTGTTGTAAATGTATGTTTGTTGGTATGGCGGTGATAGTGTTGTTTGTGTGTTGTTGTAAATGTATGTTTGTTAGTATAGTGTTGTTTGTGTGTTGTTGTAAATGTATGTTTGTTGGTATAGCGGTGATAGTGTTGTTTGTGTGTTGTTGTGTAAATGTAGCGTTTGTTAGTATAGTTTGTTAGTTAGTGTTGTTTGTGTGTTGTTGTAAATGTATGTTTGTTGGTATAGCGGTGATAGTGTTGTTTGTGTGTTGTTGTAAATGTATGTTTGTTAGTATAGTGTTGTTTGTGTGTTGTTGTAAATGTATGTTTGTTGGTATAGCGGTGATAGTGTTGTTTGTGTGTTGTTGTAAATGTATGTTTGTTAGTATAGTGTTGTTTGTGTGCTGTTGTAAATGTATGTTTGTTGGTATAGCGGTGATAGTGTTGTTGTTGTAAATGTATGTTTGTTGGTATAGCGGTGATAGTGTTGTTTGTGTGTGGTTGTAAATGTATGTTTGTTGGTATAGCGGTGATAGTGTTGTTGTTGTAAATGTATGTTTGTTGGTATAGCGGTGATAGTGTTGTTTGTGTGTTGTTGTAAATGTATGTTTGTTAGTATAGTGTTGTTTGTGTGTTGTTGTAAATGTATGTTTGTATAGTGTTGTTAGTGTTGTTTGTGTGTGGTTGGTTAATGTATGTTTGTTAGTATAGTGTTGTTTGTGTGTGGTTGTAAATGAATCTTATTAAAATGTTGTCAGTATTGTTTGTGTGTGGTTGTAAATGTATGTTTGTTGGTATAGCGGTGATAGTGTTGTTTGTGTGTTGTTGTAAATGTATGTTTGTTGGTATGGCGGTGATGGTGTTGTTTGTGTGTTGTTGTAAATGTATGTTTGTTAGTATAGCGGTGATAGTGTTGTAAATGTATGTTTGTTGGCATGGCGGTGATAGTGTTGTTTGTGTGTTGTTGTAAATGTATGTTTGTTGGTATGGCGGTGATAGTGTTGTTTGGGTGTTGTTGTAAATCTATGTTTGTTGGTATAGTGTAATGATAGTGTTGTATATGGGGGAATGTTAGTGCCAATGTGTCACGTCCCAGTGCATTAGTGTGACGTGTGCTGGTACTGTGGGTGGTTCAGTTCGCATTACCGGGTTTCTTTTGGAGACTGGTAATTTTCTTGAAATTGCGTTTTAAATAACACTCATATTATATTGTTATAGTTTTAACAAAATAATTCATATTCCTTATTTGATTAAAGAGGAGTCGTGAGGGGGAAAGCTTGGTCTACTATCGGAACACTCATCAACGTGGGTGCCAAATTATCCCGTCCTGACATATTCACTTTACGATGATCTATGTAATTCGTTCATAATAATGGAATCCCATGCTGTGTAAATACGATACATTCAGTTTGATTAGGCCAAAACTAACTATTACTTGCTTCATGAGAAACAAAAACATATCGACGCTGTCAAGTCTTCGCGGTTTTGAATAGGAGCGTATTTTATCTATTATAAGCAATAGTTAATTTCCACAGCTGAAATGAAGAACCAGTTTTTGAAGAAATCCTCCACACTCAGCAATATTCCAGCTATATGGCGGCGGTCTGGATGTAATCGAGTCTGGACCAGGCAATCCAGTGATCAACAGCATGAGCATCGATCTATGCAATTGGGATACAATGACATGTGTCAACCAAGTCAGCGAGCCTGACCACCCGATCCCGTTAGTGGCCTTTTACGACAAGCATGGGTTACTGAAGATCAATTCTAACTTGGATCTTCACGGGTTCTTATACTCTCGAGGACAAGAGGCAAACATTAACTGACATGCAGTTGCTAAAAAAAATGCTTAATCAGAATTAATGGGGGTACCAGCTGTACAATCATGTCGTGTGACCTCGAGTGTAACTGTGAGATATACATGAAACAAGTTATATATCTATCGTCCTAGAGTACAATACATGCATTCTTAACTGCAGCCTCCAATCGGTAACGGGTTAACAGCTTTTGTTACATCGTTACAGTTAATACGCAAATTAGTACCTCTCCAATAGTCAGAATAATGATAAATAAGCCTATTTCCTGGTCAGCTGGATATATTTGTCGTACAATTTATACTGTGAGCTGGAGATTTAGTCGCGTGGGCAACACACGCCTTGTATATTGTAGTTACCATCACTGTACTCTGTGACCTGTTATTCTGATTTCATTATTTTTAAATGCCTACGGATTGAAAATATATACTTTACTATGAATGTAATCTTCTTCGGTGGAGGGGCGGTGGGGAAGCCTAGTAGTTAAAGCGTTCGCTCGTCACGCCGAAGACCCGGGTTCGATTCCCCACATGGGTACAATGTGTGAAGCCCATTTCTGGTGTTCCCTGCCGTGATATTGCTGGAATATTGCTAAAAGCGGCGTAAAACCATACTCACTCACTCACTCACTCTTCGGTGGAAATCGTGGGAGAATTAACAATACGCCATTCTAAATAATGTAGTATTTACTCATACAAGAAAATATTACTCCTTAATGTCACATTTTGGACAACGTATATCGTCAAACAAGGTTTGTCAAACGAGTCTTGTCAAGGTGTAGCAGTCATCTAGTCCAAACGATCCCCATTCAGTCGGCGAAGAGGTCACAAAGCGGCACGGCACGAGTGTCGTAAATCTGTGTTAAAGTATTGGAGTTTCGGTGATAGTAGCGGGCTTTTTGTGAAACGGGGCTCCCCTCCAGAAACCTAAAACTATGTGTACAACAGCATGCCATTTATAGGAGTGCGGTAATCAAGCGCTCTCTTTCCGGTTCGAATGCCCGGGTTCGATTCCCAGTGTGGGAACAATGTGTGAAGCCCATTTCTGGAGCCTTGATACTGCCTCCCTTTCACTTAATCAACCACACATATAATGAAGTTCTTTAATCCACATTTATATATAAAAATCTTAAAAAGGCACCATGTAACCATTGACTTACATAAAACTAGCAACATAGCCTAGTGGTTAAAGCGTTGGCTCGTCACGCCGAAGACCCGGGTTCGAATCCCCACATGGGTACAATGTGTGAAGCCCATTTCTGGTGTCCCCCGCCGCGATGTTGCTGGAATATTGCTAAAAGCGGCGTAAAACCAAACTCAGTCAGTCAGTCAAGCTGTCCGGAGAACATCTGCTGTTGGGTAAGCTTCCATGTACTAACAAAACAGATTTTGAAAGAACTACAATCAGTACCTACCACACAGTGCAGCCCATGACAGAAGGATCCCACAGATTAAACCAGTCATGTCAGCTTGTTATCCACTGTCTTGTGTTACTGCCAGTTGTTGGAACGGGAATCTGTCTTATATGAGTGAGATGAAGTTCAATTGGGCAATTAAAACCCACTTACTGTAATTCCATACGGCGACACAGTTGCTCTCCCTGCGCCAATTCCAAGTAATTTACTCCCTGATCTTTCCATGCACTTATTTCGTCCACACACTTTTCACATTTCATCTGACCCTGGCGTATCGGTGTGTCATCGGTAGTTGCCATTGACAATCAGGCGCTCCTTGGTGTGTAGGCACGAGGAGTTGTTGTAGACTGTGGCGTCAGCTGAAGCTGCTGCTGTTGCTGGTGACGCCATCCTGTTTTTGCTTCATTTGTGATGAATGCCGTTGTTGCTGTTGCTGTTGCTGAGAATGAGTATTTGTTGACTTTGCTTATGTTGCTGATTTGTCTGTTCTTCATGGAGTATGCTAGCTGTATGGCAGTAGCCTGAAAATAACCGTGTCTGGCTGTTGATGGTGCGCCATGATCTGGATTGGAACGGTTCTTGGTGGACAATGTTTGATGTTGGTTGGTGTTGGTTGATGGTGGACATTGTTGCCAGGGACAGGCACTGTTCTTGGTGGACTATGTTGATGTTGGTTGGTGTTGGTTGTAGTGGACAGGGTTGCCAGGGACAGGAACTGTTCTTGGTGGACAATGTTGATGTTGGTTGGTGTTGGTTGATAGTGGACAGTGTTGCCAGGGACAGGAACTGTTCTTGGTGGACAATGTTGATGTTGGTTAGTGTTGGTTGATGGTGGACAGTGTTGCCAGGGACAGAAACTGTTCTTGGTGGACAATGTTGATGTTGGTTGGTGTTGGTTGATGGTGGACATTGTTGCCAGGGACAGGCACTGTTCTTGGTGGACTATGTTGATGTTGGTTGGTGTTGGTTGATGGTGGACAGGGTTGCCAGGGACAGGAACTGTTCTTGGTGGACAATGTTGATGTTGGTTGGTGTTGGTTGATGGTGGACAGTGTTGCCAGGGACAGGAACTGTTCTTGGTGGACAATGTTGATGTTGGTTAGTGTTGGTTGATGGTGGACAGTGTTGCCAGGGACAGAAACTGTTCTTGGTGGACAATGTTGATGTTGGTTGGTGTTGGTTGATGGTGGACAGTGTTGCCAGGGACAGGAACTGTTCTTGGTGGACAATGTTGATGTTGGTTGGTGTTGGTTGATGGTGGACAGTGTTGCCAGGGACAGAAACTGTTCTTGGTGGACAATGTTGATGTTGGTTGGTGTTGGTTGATGGTGGACAGTATTGCTAGGGACTGGAACGGTTCTTGGTGCACAATGTTGATGTTGGTTGGTGTTGGTTGATGGTGGACACTGTTGCCATGTACAGGAACTGTTCTTGGTGCACAATGTTGATGTTGGTTGGTGTTGGTTGATGGTGGACACTGTTGCCATGTACAGGAACTGTTCTTGGTGCACAATGTTGATGTTGGTTGGTGTTGGTTGATGGTGGACAGTGTTGCCATGTACAGGAACTGTTCTTGGTGCGCAATGTTGATGTTGGTTGATGTTGGACACTGTTGCCAGGGACAGGGACTGTTCTTGGTGTACAAGGCTGATGTTGGTTGATGGTGGACAGTGTTGCTAGGGACTAGAACTGTTCTTGGTGTACAAGGCTGATGTAGGTTGATGGTGGACAGTGTTGCTAGGAAATGTTCTTGGTGTACAAGGCTGATGTTGGTTGATGGTGGACAGTGTTGCTAAGGTTCTGATGTTGGATGTTGGTTGATGGTGGACAATAGGGAATGGAACTGTTGCTAGTGTTGCTAGGGACTGGAACTGTTCTTGGTGTACAAGGCTGATGTTGGTTGATGGTGGACAGTGTTGCTAGGGAATGGAACTGTTCTTGGTGTACAAGGCTGATGTTGGTTGATGGTGGACAGTGTTGCCATGTACAGGAACTGTTCTTGGTGGACAATGTTGATGTTGGTTGATGTTGGACACTGTTGCCAGGGACAGGGACTGTTCTTGGTGTACAAGGCTGATGTTGGTTGATGGTGGACACTGTTGCTAGGGACTAGAACTGTTCTTGGTGTACAAGGCTGATGTAGGTTGATGGTGGACAAAGTTGCTAGGGAATGGAACTGTTCTTGGTGTACAAGGCTGATGTTGGTTGATGGTGGACAGTGTTGCTAGGGACTAGAACTGTTCTTGGTGTACAAGGCTGATGTTGGTTGATGGTGGACAGTGTTGCTAGGGACTAGAACTGTTCTTGGTGTACAAGGCTGGTGTTGGTTGATGGTGGACAGTGTTGCTAGGGACTGGAACTGTTCTTGGTGGACAATGTTGATGTTGGTTGATGGTGGACAGTGTTGCTAGGGACTAGAACTGTTCTTGGTGTACAAGGCTGATGTTGGTTGATGGTGGACAGTGTTGCTAGGGAATGGAACTTTCTTGATGATGTTGGTTGATGGTGGACAGTGTTGCTAGGGTACATGTTCTTGGTGCTGTTCTTGGTGTACAAGGCTGATGTTGGTTGGTGTACATGGTGGTTGATGGTGGACAGTGTTGCTAGGGACTAGAACTGTTCTTGGTGGACAAGGCTGATGTTGGTTGGCGGTGGACAGTGTTGCTAGGGGACTGGAACTGTTCTTGGTGTTGCTAGGGACTGGAACTGTTCTTGGTGGACAATGTTGATGTTGGTTGGTGATGGTTGATGGTGCTAATGATTGGTCAACAAGGTGTTTTTTCTGCAAGACATACTTTTAGTTGTTTTCTACAGTGGTGGATATTGTCACAATAATAATAACACAAGAGTTACAGTGGATTCTTTACAGACATATCTTATATACTTATTTTTGCTTTTATTTAGATGGTGATTGTCCATGTTGCTGTAGTCGTATTTAATGTTGATGATTATGGAAGGTGATGGTGATGAAGGTGATGTCTCTGTTTTAGGTATATACATAAATATATAAATTTAACTAATCGACGCACCGCAGTCATGAAATGAAATGAAAACAGACTAGGTCACACGGTCTAGCGGTCTGAACGCAGCGTTGAGAAATCGATAAATGGCAACATCAAAGACTTCATAATCACGATCATCAAGTTAACCATTAGACATATTGCACACGCAGCTGTGGTCGCTTAAAGTGGCCTTAAAGTACCGTAAAGTGCATATTATACACACATTAAGTAAATGTGTAGCGTGTACCTTTTCCCTAACGAAATAATACACCTATCATAGTTCCAAGTTATAGTTTCACCTGTTTTGTTAGTTTTAAAGTTAATGTGACCAACACACTGTCGTATATTCTTGTTTTGCATTTATTTTACGTTTCTCTGTTTTATATTTTATTCCATATAGAATATGTTCCAAAGGCATTTACCATACATGTATATTATAATGTTATCGGTCGTGTTCGGGTAAACAATGTCGTAAATATACTGTATGGTTGAGTATACTTCTGTATTTCTAGAGACGTTTTATATTTTACCTATATCGACCAACGCGTTTTAGTATACGATACATACATGTACAATAGATCTATATTTTACCTATATCGACCAACGCGTTTTAGTATACGATACGTACATGTACAATAGATCTATATTTTCGTGTCGATGTGGTTTACATGCTTCTGTCTTGTTCATATAGAGAAGGGGCGGTGGGGTAGTCTAGTGGTTAAAGCGTTGGCTCGTCACGCCGAAGACCCGGGTTCGAATCCCCACATGGGTACAATGAGTGAAGCCCATTTCTGGTGTCCCCGCCGTGATATTGCTGGAATATTGCTAAAAGCGGCGTAAAACCAAACTCAGTCAGTCAGTCATATAGAGTATGTGGTGTTTGATATATTGTTTTACTTCATACGAGTGTTGTTCACAGACTAGTTTAGCTAAAATATGGACAACGTAAAATATCAACTTTCTAACTGTTTAGCTTAAACTGAAACCGGTTGTTCAAGTGTGAATCAGGGTAAGGGTAGTTTTGAAATGAATTTGATCTACAGACAACAATAGCTTTGACAATTTATTCACGCGCCGAGATGCTTTCGTCGGATCTTCAGTTGTAATGAGAGCCATGCTTTTCAACCAGTTCCTCATCAGTTGGAACCATGCAGAAGGGAATACAGAATAGCGAAACTTGGTATGTAGAAGAAAAAGAGTGAGTGAGTGACCACTCAGCAATATTCCAGCTATATGGCGGCGGTCTGTAAATAATCCAGTCTGGACCAGACAATGCAGTGATCAACAGCATGAGCATCGATCTGTGCAAGTGGGAACCGATGACATGTGTCAACCAAGTCAGCGAGCCTGACCACCCGATCCCGTTAGTCGCCTCTTACGACAAGCATGGGCTACTGAAGATCAATATTCTAACCCGGACCTTCACGGGTATAGAAGAAGAAGAAGAAACAATCACTTTGTAACATTCTCTATGCAATTTCTCTTAAATGCTTTCCTTAAGGTTATTCGTAGAATTTTTAAAATCTGAAATGCTTATATATAACAATGCTTTAAAAACGTAACATCATATATAAAATTCGTACTAAAACCTCAAAAATAAATAATGAAGATGATTACAGATATTTTCACAACATGGATTTGTGGTTGAATATCATTAAAAGTATCAGTATAACCTTTTGGCATTTAGTCAAATGAGTATTATGAAATGTGGCTGACATATAAAACACTGCGTGGTGATTGGGGAAATACTTGTACAGCCAAATAATACCAATTTTCCCTGACCCAGCGCACTGACATTGCCATCAGTGGATTTGTTTGGGTCGTCAAAGATTAAATAGCATTGATGAATGGCCTGTTATTACCATAGAGTGTGGGTGGGCGAAGGGCGTTGTTAGGCGCAATACCTTTGAAGGTCCACCAGCTCAGGATGTGAGGACAGGAAATTATTACGAAAATTGAATTCAAAATACCTGTTTTAGGGATTTAATATGTCCAAATTATTAAAATTACAATTAACAGCCGTTATAACTTGCATTATGATGTAATTTGAAAATATTACTCGCCCGTATCCAAATCATCGGTTTTAATTGTGCTGTATTTATCACGCGTAAAGGTTGGTTGGTTGGTCGTTGTTTTACGCCGCACTCAGCAATATTCCAGTTGTATGGCCGCGGTCTGTAAATAATCCAGTCTGGACCAGACAATCCAGTGATCAACAGCATGAACATCGATATAGGCAATTGGGATGACATGTGTCAACCAAGTCAGCGAGCCTGACTATCCGATCCCGTTAGTCGCCTCTTACGACAAGCATGGGTTACTGAAGGCACATTCTAACCCAGATGATCACTGGTCCAAGCGCAAAGGAGGTTACGCGTCCTGGCACAACTGAAACCTCAATATTTTAAAGTGACGAAAACCTGTGCGAACATGTTATAAATATTTTCAGATACGATCTAATGATTAACATCAAGCTAGTTTATGTCTCACACTTGAATGATTTTACTTTCGGCATTTTGGACTACAGAAGAATGGATACAAAATGCGAACAGACAGATTTTACCAACTTCAAGAGAAAGTACAATTGTGAACAAGAGCTCCTCTGTTCAATATGGAAGTGTAACAATATATGGATGAACTTATTCTTTATTACAGTGTGAGCGAAGTTGTTATCCTTCCCTACTGCTCCAACTTCTAAATGTCTTTTTAGTCTACATTTCTTAAATGGGATGAAAACTTCGTTAATGGGTTATTTCATACACTGGCATTAAGCACCAGGGAGGCGCAGGTAGGCCCAGAAAATTGACTGTCGGTGACAGGAGGCGGCTTGGTATTCTTGTTTCTAAAAACAAACGAAGGAGTTTAGAAAACTTAAGGCTGGATATGATTGATTGAGAACTGTGGCTGTCTGTAAGGAGACAATTAGAACTGAGCTGCATGCAATGGGTTTGCAGAAAAGTCGAGGAATTCCATCACCGATCATGAAACCTGAACAAAAGGAGCGAAGGTTGAACTGGTGCTTACAGCATAGAAATTTTAACTGGGACAATGTGATTTTCTCAGATGAAAGTTCTGTGTGGCTGTTTCTAATACACTGAAATTCTGGACCAAACAAACTGAAAAACCTTTGTATCAGCGCCCAAAGTACAGTCAGTCCGAAATTTAACGTGTGGGGTGGCATATCTGTGTTAGGGGCAACGCCCCTCTGTGTATTCGAAGGGAATATGAACAATGAGCGGTACACAGATATTCTCGAGGGACATTTACTTCCATCTGCTCACTTGTTCTATGGATATTTTTGGATTTTCCAGCAGGACAACGACCCAATACATCGTTCAAAGCATTCACAGGCCTGGTTTCGGACCCAAAATATGACATTATTAGATTGGCCAAGCTATAGCCCTGACCTAAATCCAATAGAAAATGTCAATAAGAAAAATCTGACAAATATTGCTGAAATGAAAGAAGAGGTGGTCCGATATTGGGACAGCATGGACCACGACTTTCTAACTTCTTTGATCAGTAGTATGCCCCGCCGCATTGAAGCCTGCATTGCTGCCCATGGTGACTTGACAAAATACTAACTGTTCACCTGTCTTTGAATCTGGAGTTATGTTCTGCTAATATTCACATTTAATACGTGAGTAATGAGTGAAAAAAATACAAAAATACATTAAATTAAATTCTCAATAATTTCTGGTTGTACTGTATATACATACAAAAAAGTCCTGAATGTTTTACTCGTCTTTTTTAATTTTTGCAGATCATATGGACCTGAACAGGCCCTGACCATACCTCGTGCTTTAGATGAAGACCTATTTGGACATGTTCTACTCTTCCGTTAGCATGTCATTATACATGTAGTTCAGAGCGTGTTCTGATGTTTGTTGATTTAGTAAAGGGAATACAGAAGGTGTATTCCGGTAGTTTGCGGTCTGTGTGATTCAGTAAACCAAGCTTCATCAAAAGGAACAGTGTGCCACATTCTTCAGATGTCGCTTTCTTATAAGTTCATAATATATAATGCCAGATGCCAACGTTTCACGTTTATTCATGTTCTATAAATGCGTTTTCATACTCTATGTATTACTGAAATCTGATGTGGAAATCGTAAAAGCACAAGATTTCCTCATAATTCAGTGTTCCACAACATAAGACTCTACCATCTATGATCTACACTCTGCTAAAAGGATCTCGTCGGTCAATGCTGTGCAACTCGGACGGTCCAGTTTTAACTTCCTAACTGCAGATTATACCTCCGCTTCTTTCAGTTTGGGTTTGCTATGCTTTTGACATCGAAAATATTCGTGAACGCGAAGTTTCTTATATTTCTGTTTCTTTCTTTCCATTCATTCCATATAACAACATATTATCAAACGGTTTGAAAAAATCTAGGTTTAATTTCTATGTTCATACGCCGTGTGTGTGTGTGTGTGTGTGTGTGTGTGAAAAGAATGCGAGCTTGAAATATCAACTCAAGACCTTCTCTACACTCACATCCACGCCCCTCAGTCCTCTCTTCCCCTGGTCCACGCCTCTCACCCCTCTCTCTATCAGGTCCACGCCACTCACTACGCCTCTCCTCAGGTCCACGCCCCTCACTACGTCTCTCCCTCAGGTCCACGCCCCTCACTCCTCTCTCCCTCTGATCCAGGCCCCTCACTACGTCTCTCCCTCAGGTCCACACCCCTAACTACGTCTCTCCCTCAGGTCCACACCCCTCACTCCTCTCTCCCTCAGGTCCACGCCCCTCACTACGTCTCTCCCTCAGGTTCACGCCACTCACTACGTCTCCCCTCAGGTCCACGCCCCTCACTACGTCTCTCCCTCTGGTCCACGTCCCTCACTTCGTCTCTCCCTCAGGTCCACACCCCTCACTCCTCTCTCCCTCAGGTCCACGCCCCTCACTCCTCTCCCTCAGGTCCACGCCCCTCACTCCTCTCTCTCCTCTGGTCCACGCCCCTCACTCCTCTCTCCCTCAGGTCCACACCCCTCACTCCTCTCTCCCTCTGGTCTACGCCCCTCACTCCTCTCTCCCTCTGGTCCACGCCCCTCACTCCTTTCTCCCTCAGGTCCACGCCACTCATTACGTCTCTCCTTTAGGTCCACGCCACTCACTACGTCTCTCCATCAGGTCCACGCCACTCACTACGTCTCTCCCTCAGATCCACGCCACTCACTCATCTCTCCCTCAGGTCCTCGCTCCTCACTCCTCTCTCCCTCAGGTCCACGCCCCTCACTCCTCTCTCTTTCTGGTCCACGCCTCTCACCCCTCTCTCTCTCAGGTCCACGCCCCTCACTCCTCTCTCTTTCTGGTCCACGCCTCTCACCCCTCTCTCTCTCAGGTCCACGCCCCTCACTACGTCTCTCCCTCAGGTCCACGCCCCTCACTCCTCCCTCCCTCAGGTCCACGCCACTCACTACGTCTCTCCCTCAGGCCCACGCCACTAACTAGTCTCTCCCTCTGGTCCACGCCCCTCCTCCTCTCTCCCTCAGGTCCGCCCCTCACTACGTCTCTCCCTCGTGGTCCACGGCCTCCACTACCTCCGTCTCCCTCAGGTCCGCGCCCTCACCTACGTCTCTCCCTCAGGTCCACGCCCCTCACTACGTCTCTCCCTCATGTCCACCCCCCTCACTCCTCTCCCTCAGGTCCACGCCCTTCCTACCGTTCCTCTCTCCTCTGTGTCCACGCCCCGTCAGTCCGTCTCCGTTCCTTCAGGGTCCCGCGTGGCTCACTACGTCGTTCGTCGTTCCAGGTCGTCGTCGCCGTCACGTCTCCCTCATTCCATTCCGCCCCTCCACTACGTCTCTCCTCTGGTCCGGTCCACCCCACTCCACTGCGTCTCTCCCTCCATCCATCCACGCCACTCTCCACCTCTCCCTCAGGTCCACCCCCTCCACTCCTCTCCCTCCATTCACGCCCTCTCTCTCCACATCCCTCCTCCCTCCCTCCCACCCCTCCACTCTCCACCCCCTTCCATTCCCGTCCCCCTCCCTCCACATCCACCACTTCCATTGTCCTCCAGGTCCACCCCTCTCCCTCCAGATCCACCCTCCTCCTCCTCCACTCCAGGTCCACCCCTCCATCGGGCTCCACCTCCACCCCTCCACTCCTTCCTCTCCGGGTCCATTCCACTGGTGGGCTCTCCTCCATCCTCCTCCTCCTCCAGGTCCACCCCTCCACCATCTCTCCCCTGGTCCACCCACTCCATCCACCCCTCCAGGTCCACTCTCCGGTCCACTCCCTCTCCACTGGTCCACCCCTCCTCCACCCCTCCATCTCTCCACCCCTCCCGTCCCATCCACCCTCCACTCCTCATCTCTCCACAGGTCCACCCCTCCACACCTGCCTCCGTCCACCCCTCCCCTCGTTCCATCCACCCTCTCGGGTCCACCCCTCTCTGCTCCACGTCCACCCTCCTCCCTCAGGTCCACGTCCCTCCACTCTCACCCTCCACGTGCCCTCTGGCTCTCACATCCACCCCTTCCTCTCACGTTCACCCCGCTCCTCCGTTCCACTCCTCACGCTGGGTCCATTTCCACTCCGGGTCCACCCCTTTCACCCTCCCCTCACGCACATCCACGCCCCTCAGTCGACTCATTCAGTTCTACAACAACCCCCTACACTTCATGTTTACCGTGTAATATAAACCCGTGAAGATCCGGGTTAGAATTGGTCTTCAGTAACCCATGCTTGTCGTGAGAAGCGACTAACGGGATCGGGTGGTCAGGCTTGCTGACTTCGTTGACACGTGTCATCGTATCCCAAATGCGTATGTCGATGCTCATGCTGCTGATCACTGGATTGTTTGGTCCAGACTCGATTATTTACAGACAGCTGCCATATTGCTGAGTGCGGCTTAAAACTAAATTCACTCACTCACTTCTTTGTAATTTGTCAATTGGCATTGTTTGGGTTTTTTTTATTCATAAGCATCTACACACTGACACAATTCCCTCTAGGAAAACATGAAATGATGAAATGTCCATCTGGTAGCGAGTTAAAAACACAGATGTTTTAGATCGGGTTTATTGAACTGATAACTCCAATCCCCAATTGTTTTAATTCATACCCGGACATTGCGATTTTCAGTCCATGACGATAACAGTTTTATGTGGTATGCATAAAATGTGAAATAAATAGCTTTCATCTCGACCGAAACACTTTTCGAAAAAGAAACTTGTACACTAATTTGCAAAACAAGAAAAATGTGTTAATATTCATCACAAAAACTGCTATTAAAATTCAAAAAGAAATTATAAATTAATATATTTAAGGCCGCATCAGTAGTTTCTTTGATAGGCGTGACCTACTGAGTGAGAACGTTATTCAGCCGAGCCAGCCGTTGTCCAGCGGTATTCATTGTCTAGACATTGAGTCAGAGCCTGACAAGCGACCCAGTCACTGTAACCATGATCCAGTCCGATCCACGCCACCAGACACGACATACGTTCACTGTTCATTACATTAAGTTTCGAGTTTTATCAATTTACTATGTAATACGATACTAAGACATTGTCGCCCTTACGTGGAGATTAACCAGAGCGAGACTATGCTACATTACAATAACGTGACATTTTGCCCATTTATCGAGTTGTCGCATTGTCCGCATTGACTTACAGTACAACCAGAATTTATTGAGAATTTAAAGATTGTAATTTTTAAAAAAACATTCACCCATTACTCACGTATTAAATGTGAATATTAGCAGGACATAACTCCAGATTCAAAGACAGGTGAACAGTTAGTATTTTGAAGTCACCGTGGGCAGCAATGCAGGTTTCAATGCGGCGGGACATACTACTGATCAAAGAAGTTAGAAAGTCGTGGTCAATGCTGTCCCAATATCGGACCACCTCTTCTTTCATTTCAGCAATATTTGTCAGATTTTTCTTATTGACACTCTCCTTCATAAGTCCCCAAACATTTTCTATTGGATTTAGGTCAGGGCTATAGCTTGGCCAATCAAATAATGTCATATTTTGGGTCCGAAACCAGGCCTGTGAATGCTTTGAACGATGTTTTGGGTCCTTGTCCTGCTGGAAAATCAAAACATTTCCATAGAACACGTGAGCAGATGGAAGTAAATATCCCTCGAGAATATCTGTGTACCACTCACTGTTCATATTCCCTTCAAATACACAGAGGGGCGTTGCCCCTAACACAGATATGCCACCCCACACGTTAAATTTCGGACTGTACTTTGGGCGCTGATACAAAGGTTTTTCAGTTTGTTTGGTCCAGAATTTTAGTGTATTAGGAAACAGCCACCCAGAACTTTCATCTGAGAAAATCACATTGTCCCAGTTAAAATTTCTATGCTGTAAGCACCAGTTCAATCTTCGATCCTTTTGTTCAGGTTTCATGATCGGTGATGGAATTCCTCGACTTTTCTGCCAACCCATTGCATGCAGCTCAGTTCTAATTGTCTCCTTACAGACAGCCACAGTTCCTCTATCAATCATACCCAGCCTTAAGTCTCCTAAACTCCTTGGTTTGTTTTTAGAAACAAGAATACCAAGCCGCCTCCTGTCACCGACAGTCAATTTTCTGGGCCTACCTGCGCCTCCCTGGTGCTCAATGCCATATCCATTTGCATTTTTTTTCAAAACACGATAAACAGTGGCCAAAAGGGGATGCCTGTTCTACTTGAAATCACTTTAGCTGATCTGATGTCCTTGTTATAATACTCTAAAATCAACTTCCTCTTCTCTAAATCATCCATACTGAGGATCACTGAAATTGTCGTCTGCTAGCAAGTAAACAAAGGGGGATAACTCTTCACAAACTAATGAAAAAGGATTAACAGAGTTGTCTCTCTTGAATGAAACCAAGCACTTGATAGCTGGTCAAGGTTGTTTATACTACAAATCCAATTAAACATATTCCTAAAATTCTCAATAATTTCTGGTCTTACGATGTATTTTGTATTTTACCAGAGGGCGATAGTGCGACAACGCGACATGTTTTAAGGTCAAAATATATCGTATTGTCGAGCTTTGGTTCATTTTTATACGTTTTGCTCTTTTATGTAAGGGGCATGCGACGAGCCAAAATGTGCGTTCCAATATTCCGTACTTCAACGTTTTCTCGCAAAGGAAGTGGTTACGTAGGGGTTGAAATAAAAATAAAATTGCAGTTATTAAGATTCTTTACTCTTTCAGTGAGAATATAGTGTCGACATTAAAAAATAATTCAAATTCTCTATTTTCCTTGTGACATTTTGAGGAATGTGACAAGAGTGTTGAAAAGTGTTTATACGTTATATCGGTATATACACTGTATATAGTCTCTGTCGGTACCATACGTTGCCTGTAGTACCTATGGAGGTTACATTTGGTTGTTATTTGAACAAATAATCACGGGCTTTTGAAAGGGTGCAGCTTCTAATGGTCTGATGGAAACAACTTGTGGTGGTCTTTATATTCTTAAGCGTCCTTATCTGAATGGGAGTTTGTTTTTATTTCACATTCCTGATATTTAACGATTGATCCATGGACCAAATAATGCAACTAAACGCAGAACGTCTAAAAGATGTGTTTTAACGTTACAGACAGAAATCCGAAAATGTTTCTCCTAAACACTGTCATACGGAAGACACAACAGGGGGTATGTTTGCATATATCAAGTTGATCCTTAACAGTCCAGTCGGTCCAAACAAATATAGACCAAGTCCACCACATCAAAATGCATCAGAAAGGTTCAAATTATTTCAAATGATACACTCAGAATGTATCCTGGTTATGAAACATAAAAAGTCTAAAAAATCTCAATGATGGAACACTGGCATATCTGACCCAAAGGGAAAGTTGGGGTCTCTGGCTTGTCCGAAGCACTTAAATTATTATCCTTAAGTTTATTTGTTGGTTGTGCCATAAATAATAATAATTATCATAATACGATTTTCAGAGAAATATTTGATTTCTGTTGAGTTGTTGGCTAATTCAACTCTACTTTAATGTTGATTGGTTGTCTTGTGGGGTCCCTGATCAGTTGTTTGTCTCCTTCACCATGGTGTTTCGAATTCATACCACAAATACGATATTACAAATATACAATAGCTTATTATGCAGTAATGAGGCATTTAAAAAGGAATAGTTTCTGTCGTTAAAGAAAGACATTCTCATATATGTTTTCTGGCGCAGTGACACATGTCGTGTTTTAATCCAAGATGTATAACTGCAAGGTTCCGCTTTTCGATGGCAGAATTATGTTCCATTGCAAAACACTGGCTTCTCGGATTATGCCATTTGGCACAAATTCCTGGGTTATCGACGGTTCTCTGTGCCAAAGTCAGGCTTTCCTCCTACATCAAGCTGAAAAGCCTTGATATAACTGGAATAGTGTTCGAAGCGGCGATAAAACATACTCTACCAGTCAATCATTGTACAGTTCATATTTCAAGTCACACTCGTCATTATCATAAATACTGTTTCAAAATATCAATATTGACCATTTTTTTTCACTGATTCGCCGGTATAGATATTGGATGAAGTGCGCCTAAAGCTGATTGCTATTTCCGATAATTAGATTAGTCAATTACACACATTAATCTTAATCTCTATATAAAAAAACAACAACAATGATTCGCAAAACAAGAAATACAATCAACTGTAAATCATGTTATTTTTTATCACAAATTTAACATTTTCATTGACCAGATTGTTATTTCCTGTTCGGTCACCTGATACAACGTTATGTTGGCGGTCGGTAGTGAATACATAGAGAGAAATCTACTTTCATTTCTGAATTTATTTCTGCAGAATTTATCCCATCTTGTGTCAACCTGATCATGTAACAAATATCGTTATTTCATAATCCATTTACACTCAGCGACACCGCGTGCTACATTTTGTACGAGAAGTCATAGTTGGAATGTAACGCTGTTTGGAGCTCGGTATCTATGTTTACCTCCGCGCAATGTCAGTGGGCTCGCTTCATTGCATACCAAAACACTATATAAGCTTGGACAAGCGTCGTCGAGAGATTGCGATAGCTGTCTGCTGTTCTGACCGCTGAAAGGCACGTGTGGTAGTTTAGGGGTGAACCCGACAAAATGGATCAGTGCTGCCTTCATCACATCGAATTTGGTGTAAAAGATGGTTCTAAAGTCGCCCAGAAATTAATTTCTCAGTATTGTTTCAAACTAATCGCTACCAGAACCTCTGCAGTTGCGAAACAGTGGGTGCTGTCGACCGGCCGGGCAAGATTTCTTCTAACAGAAATTACATCCGACGTATATGAAGAAATTATCGCAGACCCGTACGTCAAAATATGGTTTGATCGGAACAGAATTGGCACTAGTGGATCGGAAAGAGAGAGAAACAGCAAGTTGAATTACGATACAGCTTTTGATGTCGCAATTCAAGTCGAAGACATTGAAAAGTGTCTAAAGAAATTGATCGACTCCGGAGTCGAATGTTTCAGGCCGATTCAATGTCATACGAGCGATCAAGGAGACGTGAAGACTGCCACCATCGTGTCATGCGTTGGGAACGTGAAACACACCCTTGTACAGAGTAATGGTTATCGGGGATTGTTTATGCCAGGCTTTGTCCCTGTGACCCCAGATGATGCGGGGGAATGAAACTTCAGTTAACGGTTCCCAAAATGTAAACAATGTAGAATTAACCCACGTTGACCATGTGACATTTGTGTGTGAAATGGGGACACTCCTTGACGTGATCAGCTGGTATCAACAACACTTTGGAATGGTCAGGTTCATGGTTAACAGGTAGGTAATTATATTATCCAATATTCAGTAGGTGCTTACTTTACTACTACTAATATTAGTAATACTAATAATATTAAGTCATCTTCTACAGTGCACAGTCTCCAAACAACAAGTGATTGCTCACAGCACTTAATCAGAATCTAATTATCATTACTCCGGGTAACCCAAGCTGCCTATTAGTGTTAGGCGCTTTAAGAAGGTTATAGTCACATGACTTTATCCATCCGGGTACCCATTTTCTGCTGGGTGAACAGAGGCAATTTTGAACCAACTCACTTGCCTAAGGTGAGACCACATATATCAGATGTGCTTCGTTGTGGGGCAGGACTAAAGTCCTAGAAACTCTCAGGTGTCAAGCTGCAAAACATGGTCACCAATCCAAGGACTGTCTGAGCTCGACGTTGCTTAACTTCAACTTCCTTAACTGCATTAATCACTCCCAACTGTGAAGATCCAGGTTAGAATTGGTCTTCAGCAGCCAATGCTTGTCGTAAGACTTGACACATGTCATCGTATCCTAATTGCTTCAATCAATGCTCATGTTGTTGATCACTGGATTGTATTTGTCCAAGCTTGATTATTAACAGACTGCTGCCATATAGCTGGGATATTGTTGAGAGTGGTGTTAAACAACAAACAAACAAACCCATCTGTTTTAGAATTAATGTACGTGCATTGAGTGATACTTATACTGAATTATATAAATTCAGTCAAAACTAATGGTTGTCAGCCATTGGCATAAATGGTGTTCCCAAGAATGACTGGATTGGTGTCTGGATCTATGTTACATAAATATCAACTGATCAGCTTTTTCAGCATATGTTATATTTTGGATTACACTTTCTCCATACAGATTCTGATACTGTTTTGGAGTTGTGTACCATCCGGGATTTGAACACCTAAGGCACCTAATCGCAAGCACCTAATCACAAGCACCTAATCACAAGCACACAAAGTCAGCAACATAACCCATTCAGCCACTGCGCAGCTTCCAAAAAAGTGGAAGTCTGACAATTGATAGACAAGATCACATATTTCATGAGAGCTTTGCCAATAATTATTTACACTTGTAACAAAATACAATATTTCAAATACATTCATTTAAATGGATGGACATACTGTTCAATATGATTGTGATTATCAGTCAGATGTCGGGTACCATGATCAGTTGGAGACTGAATGGCTTTTATCAACAACTGATGAAGTCATCAACACTAGTCATCAGGTCAAGCAGATGTTGATTTCATGACACACTAGCAGATACAACTTCTATACATCGGTAGCAGTTCTCTGTCAGCACATACCTTATTTAACATAATAAATCCCCTAGGCAATTTGAAATATATTTCGGTAAAATTTGATGTAAGCAACCTGAATTAACCCAGGTAGGTTTGTCTCTCCTGTACAATCTCTGATATGATTATGCAGCAGTGTTAGGTTATGAGACAATGTATTTAAATATTGGTAATATTTTTATGTAAGCTATCAGAATTAATCCAGTAGTGTTTTTTTGTGACATGTAGACTCTCTAACACAGTATAACATTTGTGTACAGGTCAGTTTGACTGGTAACTGATGGGGCTGCAATGAATACACTATGAGTTGAACACAATATTTTTGCAAATATATAATAACGAATATGAATATTTATTCATGAATAGTTTATGGTTAATATCTAGGAAAAAGAATAACCAGCATGTCATGTAATTGCTAAAGTTGAAACATCTAAAGGATATTTTCTATAAGATAAAAAAAGAAATACATTGCGAACAATGCCGCTTATATCTGTGTCCGTGACACAAGGGGCACTCTTTAAATAACTCAAGTTACGCTATTGCATGGCTTGGATATATTCCATTTTGCATTCCATTCACTTAGATAAAGTAAAGTACAAACAGTAAAACCTAGTAAGTAAAAACACTCTCTTACACATATTCGTAAATATTCGATTGTAGTGTAGCGGCCATAAAATTTCCGAGTCCCGTACTGGGATTTGAACCACAGACCTTCTGATCCGAAGTCAGACGTCTTGTTCACGTAACCAAAGAGGTTAACCCCGTCAGCAAGCTGACAAGGTAAGGATGTCATCTGTGGGATGACTCCACGCCCTGCTACATACTCCCCAGTCAACAGAAGGCACGTCCCGAGCCGCATAGTTGGGTACTGAGATTTATTTTGCTCAAATTTTGATATGAATGTGCTCAGCCCCACGTTGGGTGCCAATGTAGCGGCCATAAAATTTCCAAGTCCCGTGCTGGGATTCGAACCATGGACCTTCTTATCTGAAGTTGGATGCCTTGTCCACATGACCAAAAGAGGTTAACCCCATCAGCAAGCTGACAAGGTAAGGATTTCATCTGTGGGATGACTCCACACCCTGCTACAGTAGTAACCATGAATAATGAAGGAATTCATAAAAGGATATGGTTCGATTCACCGAGTACAACTGAATCGTAACAGGACTGCTGTTTCATACTGACAAATAAATGAATGGAAAGGGAAACCTGTGCAAATCCCTGTGTTTACATGCCAGAGGTAATATGACTGAATATGGGAAAATAACTGCATGTATGTTATGTAAAGGATAAAACACGACTCCGAGGTCTTGGTCGATATTGTAAAACCAGAGAGCAGGGTTTTACAACCCTGACCAAGACCGAGGGAGAGTGTTTTATCAGACTTATGAACCGTCATGAATGTAAAACACAAATATGTATTATTTTCAATTTGTGCATGTACTGATCAGAATAACATTGATGGAACAGCCTGCAAATGATCGAACATCATGTGTCAACTGGGATGCGACTGGCAGCCAACACTTTGCCTCGCACGCGCAATGCACGTGCTCTGCAAAAGCGCCACCTGTGTCCTGCATGTGCTGCCCCGAAAGTACCGTCTTGTGAGGAACGCATGGTTCATACTGACAAACAATCTCATTCTTCACAGCGATCCTTCGTTACGAATCGTAGCCTAGTGGATAAAACCACCAAGCTAGAGAGCGAAGAGTTGCGGGTTCGAAACCAGTTATCGCCACTATATATTGGAAGTTTTCAATAATGAGATATTTTACGATCAGTCATAGCAAGACAAAGTTGTATCAATCATAAATAAGGGTCATTTCAAAACCTCATATCAGGTTAAGTTTGGTAATGAAATGGTCGCAATTTAACCTGATATGAGGTTTCGAAACGTGTACTTCAAAACCTGGGCTTAGAAATGATCGGTGCAAAGTCACGACAGAGGTCTACCCGATTCTGGAGGGAACCTACTTTACTGCAGAAAAAATCGGAGATAGGTTTATAAAAATGGGATATGCATCTGTTTTCTGTTGAAAAGTCTGCAATATAGACAAGGAACTATAGACTGTCATGTACATTTTCAGACCTAATATGTAGCTCTAAAAGTGAATACTTGCAGATTTGTGGTTATTAAAACAGGGCACTTAATACAGTGAATGCGGTATTTCTGATATCTATATATGAACATTAAGTGCTGAGCAGTGTCAGTTTTTATTACAAGTGGCTCATGAGGATGTAATCAACTTGGTGGTCGGGCAATAACAATATGTATCATGTCATGAACATTTGTCACAGAATCATTTCCATAACCACTAACATTTCAAATTCATAACATATGTATTTCTCCCTGCTTCATACATGAACATTGAAGGTAGGGGTATTAACAGTAAACACATACAGAACACTTTTGGTGGTGGATGGCAGTGGGGTAGCCCAGTGGTTAAAGCGTTTGCTCGTCATGCCAAAGGCCCAGGTTCGATTCCCCACATGGGTACAATGTGTGAGGTCCATTTCTGGTGTCCCCCCGAAGACCTGGGTTCGAATCCTCACATGGGTACATTGCGTGAAGCCCATTTCTGGTGTCCCCTGCAGTGATATTGCTGGAATATTGCTAAAAGCTGTGTCAAACCCAACTCACTCACTCACTCACTTCAGGTGGTGAGTAGTTACAAGTTTCTGAAATAGTGTTTAAGTGATTTCCAAATGGAAACCTTTGACCCAGAATATTGTCCCTGGGATTGTTTGGTTTTCGTTGTTCGACTGATCTCTTCAGTTCAGAATAAGATGATGGATGTGATTACCATGATTAAAGCAAACTGGTTCTTTGTTGGACAACAGTAGCTGTACATGCAGTGAGCCTTATTTTAATAGTACAAAAATTAATATTGCAATATGGGAGCATGTATCATGTCTATTACTGTTTGTTCTCCGATACTGGTTCAAACAGGGTAACTACCATGCTGTTTATGGTCTGGTTGGTACTTTCATGTTGTAATTACAAGGGCCCAGGAGAAACTGCTTTGATATGCTGTATAACATCTTTATTTTGTACTTTTTGCAAACATTATTTCATAAACCTATCTATTTTGTGTAAATCTTTAAAACCTAGGTATACACTTCTGGTGTCCCATGCGTGCACATGGAAATTGTATTGCAACACCCCATATTTTTCATAGTATTGGTATGTTACCAAAGATTCAAAATAATCAGACAAACAAACATGATTATGATATGAATATAAATTGCTAGGGTTAAAAATAATGGGTATTGTGATAAGTTTTTCCATGAATATACATTCAAAATCACAATAAAAATCCTATGTCCTGTAGTTGCATCTGGTTCCAAAAATTTGGTGAAAAATTATTTGATCAAGAGTTACTGCTTACTGCCAGTTTGTCAGGAGATACCACATTTTGGGTAAATATTTTTTGAGTTTTTAGTGTATTATAATTCATCTCAAATCTGTACTGGGTTGGATCTCTGGTCACGGTGATAATGGACTTTCAACTCTGAAAATGTCAGCTGTGAGTATTAGAGTCCATATCACCTGATAGTGGATGGGAGCTAATCACCATATACCATGCTGCCCAGGAATGTGATGTGTGTTAAAAACCATGAACCAGTGTTTGCTTCCATGTTTTCTAAATTGAATTGTTTAAGAATAATAGGAATAACATTCATAAGTGATTATGGTTTAACATTGCTTTTAAGAATAGTCCAGCAATATCACTGGTGGGGACTAGTGGTGGTCCGATTAATTGAAATAATCGAAGATTGGTCGCAGTGACTAAACGACCAAGCAATCGATCATGTTTTCTCATAATCGAACACAAACAATTCTGGAACACTTGTTTGCATTAACAATATTTTTCACAAGGTTGGTTTTGTCTGTTACATTTCATGACCACTACAAGCTCGTTCCAAGTCATGATTGAATTTATCTTAAAGACTCCAAGAAATTTATGTTCCTAACCTACTAGTCATCCTTTAAAGATGTGAAATTTGCAAATGCCTTTTGTGCAATTTGCAAAAACACCAAAGAACTACAGGGTTTTTTCTTTATTTTTTTTGTCCATTAACAAAAATAATCAGGACAATTTCATAAATGACGCTAACCAATTATTTTCGATGATTGATCGGTTGTAATGAACCAATCATCAATTATGAGATTTTGACCAATTCCCAGCACTAGTGGGGACACCAGAAATGGTCTTCACTCATTGTACCCATGTCTTCATTGTGATGAACGAGCACTTTAACCACTGGGTCTACCTGATAAGAATAGCAACCAGCTGAAACAATGGACATCGATCTTGATCAATAATAATGTATCTTCCCAGAAAATTGATAGCATCGATAATGTCTTTGATTGGCATTTTAGTTGGGATGTACAATACTGACAAATGTATGGATAACAACTTCTTCTTATTTGTGAGTGTACCTCTTGATACTGATTCTTTTATTTGTCAGTATTGGTAGCATCAATGTTACTTCACTTTATTACCGCCTCCATGGTGTAGTGGTTAGAGCATCCGCCCAGAGTGCGGAAGGTCACGGGTTCGATCCCTGACTGCATCATACCAAAAGACATTAAAATATGGTATTTGTTGGTCCCTGCCTGGCGCTCAGCATTAATGGGTACATCAAGGACTAGTCGGCTCGGAGTCAGTATAATGTGTCTGAGTGGGGTATTCATGCTTCACTGCGGCATGGTATCTCAGTGGGCTAGCACTATAAAACCAGCTTCAGTCTGGGCTAGTACAAGCAGCCGCACATACACATACACACGCATGCACTTTGTCATATGAGCGAAATATTCTCAAGCACGATGTTAAACCCAATTCCACCACCACCACCACTTCACTTTATTGATGTTGCATACAACAGCATAAATCAATATTAACCCTTCACATAATTCTAATCCAGCATACTGGTTAAGTCCTAATTTGAAGTTGCACATATTCAACTGATTGGTGTGTTTCTTCTTCTTTCAGGGATGAGGATGAAAAGGAGGGTATGGTGATCAAGGGGGATAATATCGGGTTGAGGATGGTGGCCTTTGAGTACTGGAAGTGTGCCGAGGTGGGACTGGTAGCACCTAGCCAGAATCAGGATCGCATAACATTCGTACTGGCAGAGTCTTTGCCTAGTCAAGGTAACAATCGTTCTAAGAGATGTTGTACAAGATGATCTTGAGCACTACAGTGACTCCCATACCTTAACATACACTTATGACATTCTTAGTGCTAAGTGCTGGTGCTGTATTGTACAATGCAAGTTGGTCAGAATAGGTACCCAGTGTGATAACTGTTTGAGTTTGGGCAGTACTTAAAAAACTCAGTACTGCACAGTTACTGTGGAATGCTTGTGTTTTTATGAAACAAAATAGGAAAGAAATCAAGCAGCTTTATTATCAGATGATGAAATCAGGATTCGGAAAAGTAGGAAATACTCTCGTATGTATGATGTGTATTAAAAGATATTTAATAACTTTTAAAAAAAACATATTTCAATTTAGTATGGGTATTTTAGGATCCTTATAATTTTTGCTTTGCTTTTGTGAGGCTTTTAAAATATCAAAATCATCCTTCCGGTTTTTTGCTGTTTCAAAATAAGACCAATTTTTATCAGGTAGATATTAGTTCTGTGTTTTCTGTTAAACCAAGGTGAAAGCTGCACCTTACACTTTGTGGGATTGGCCCTGTGAAAGCGAGAGACTGCTCCTGACAAATCAGATTCATGCAATCCAGTTCTTGGCCTCAATGACAAAATCTGCTTCCTTTTACCAAAGAAATATGGCCTTTCAGTTTCATGTGAAATATTGTTATGTGATTGTAAACATTGGAACCAAGGCAGGGTCCAGGGATACTCCAGCTTTGGCTTGAAAATGAAACAATCGAAGGTTTAAGTTCAATTCAGTTCTTCACTTTGTGTTATTTCAGGGCCAAATCAGGTGGACACATTCCTCCAGCAGCACAATGGCCCTGGGCTGCAACATATAGCTCTACACACACCGGACATCATCTCCACCATCACCGGGCTCAGACAGAAGGGGGTCAAGTTTGCCGAGCCACCTCCCAATTATTATTATGAGGTAACAATAACTCCCTGTAAATATCCCACAAATACTGTGACAGACTCCAAACAAGCATGATGTTACTTGGTCTTTCAGGAGATTATTCCAAAACATACCGCTAACCAAAGAGATAATAAAAACTGAAGTATTTGATATTTTCTCCATGTTCTGTTTTTGATTAATAATGCTGTCCATTGTTTAGACTATTAGCTTGGTAGGTAAGGTGTTTGCCAAAGGTTCTGGGCCCTGTTTCACAAAGCTCTCGTAAGTCTAAGATCTCGTAACTTTCCTCGTAGCATTCGTACCTCCTATACTGTAACATAGGAGGTACGATGCTACGAGAAAAGTTACGAGAACTTAAGCTTACAAGAGCTTCGTGAAACGGGGCCAGGTCTCCATCTCTGTGTTGACTGTTACCATGACTATGATGAAGTTGATGGCTTTAAGCTAGAATTGATCTTAGGCCCCAATGTTGTGTTGGTCTAGTGCTTAAAGCGTAACTCATGGTACAGACCTTTGTTTGATATGCAAGAATGGGTCCAATGTGTGAATCCCATCCTGGTTGGATATTGCTAAAATAAGCATAAAAACTTTACACACACAATCATTCACTGGGACTTTATATTTGTTTGTCTGTGTGATGCTCAGTTATGTTTAGGGTTTCCAGCCTTAAAATATATTTGCATCCTTCCAGTGAGTGAGCAAGTATTGGTTTACGCCGCTTTTAGCAATATTCCAGCAATATCACAGTGGGGAACACCTGAAATGGACTTCACACATTTTGCCCATGTGGGAAATTGAACCCGGGTCTTCAGTCTTCAGTGCGAACGCTTTAACCACTAGGCTATCACACCACCCCTGCATATTTATGCATCTAGTATGTAATACTTTACATGTGGTAAAACTCTGCACTCACTCAGGAAGCTAAACTTTCAGTGTTAATCATTATACCCACACACAGCATAGGTCTGAAGTTGGTCAGGTTTGAAATAATTAATAATAATAATCAAAATCTGAAATAATTTGGTTTTCTAATCTCCATGGTGACAGGAAGGGAAGCTGGATGAGATACAGAAAATTGGGTTGAAGCCCGAGCTGCTCAAGTCTCAGGGGATACTGATTGACATGGAGGCGGATGCAGATGCTACAGACAGTGAAGACACACACAGGTAAGAGATGCCTTTCTTCGATGCTTAGCCACGGACAGAAACATATAACTCCATATAAATTGAAAAGGCGCTCCTGTGAGAACAATCTAGACTTGCTTCATTTAGGGACTTTGTATTGCAGGAAAAGCAGAGTTGATTTGTTTGTTTGTTGTTTAACACCGCATTCAGCAGTATTCCAGCTATATGGCGGCAGTCTGTAAATATTCAAGTCTGGACCAGACAGTCAAGTGATCAACATCATGAGCATCGATCTACGCAACTGGGATATGATGACATGTCAACCAAGTCAGCGAGCCTGACCACCCGATCCCATTAGTTGCCTCTTACGACAAGCATGGATTACTAAAGATCAATTCCAGGCCTACCAAAGAAAACTTTCCCATTGGCGCAGAAAAATGCAGAAAAGCCCACATTCATCGTGGAAATAGCAACATAAACATATTACCTCGATACTGAAACAGTAAAAACGGCAACGAAAGACTATGAAACTGCAACATTGTAACTGCAACTAATGAAACTGCTGGAAAATGTCAACATGCGGTCGAGACTTTTTTATCCAGTTTTAGCGATTGTTCGTTTTTAAAGTTGCCGTTTTTACTGTTTCAGTAGCAAGGTATTATGTTTATGTTGCTATTTCCACGATTAATGTGGTCTTTTCTGCGTTTTTCTGCACAGTGGGAAAGTTTTCTTTGGTAGGCTTAAATTCTAACCCAGATTTTCATGGGTCTGGCTTGGGGGAAGGAAAAATATTGTGGTTCCTGGAGGATCTTGCACTCTGTGTGACCTAGACACCCAGTGTAACTGTGTTCCACACATTCACACTGACCATATTGTTTTTCAGAACCCATGAAGATCCGGGTTAGAATTGATCTTCAGTAACCCATGCTTGCCGTAAGAGGTGACTAACGGATCGGGTGGTCATCGTATCCCAATTGCATAGATCGTTGCTCATGCTGTTGATCACTAGATTGTCTGGTCCTGAATCGATTATTTACAGACATATAGCTGGAATATTGCTGAATGTGGCGCAAAACTGAACTCACTCACTGTGTTCCAGATACCTGATGCAGAAGTTCTCCCAGCCGCTGTTTGACCGAGACACCTTATTCCTAGAAATCATCCAGCGATGTGGAGCATCAGGGTTCGGTTTTGGTAACATCAAGGCGCTGTGGAAGTCCGTGTCGGCATATCTGTCCAAGAGCGGCAGTCAGAATCTCTGAGCCAAAGTCTGAATATTTGTTTGATGGGCATTATTGCATAGAGTCACATTTCGTGTTATCAAGCTAAAAGAATCTACACCAAAATGTTGCTCTTTGCAATAAACAAGAAGTTGTTATAAATAAAGTTGTATGCTGCATAACTGACAGTCTGAATCTCTCAGCAATAGTTAGAATCTCTCAGCAACAGAATCTCTGAGATGTGAGCGTTGATCAGGAGTTCAATACATGCAGAAAGATTCCAAACACCAGTCATGCTCTAAGCTATGGTGAGCCATGCAGTGTGCAGAATTAAGCATGGAAGTCAAGGGGGCTTGTCATAACCCTCATGCTGTAAGTTAACATTTCTTCCCAAGATTAAATTATTATAGTTGAAAACCGCAAGGACCAATCTTTTTCCAACCCTGTCTTTAATGGATTGGAGTTTCATGATGTTATGGAGATCTATTTGTTTCCATGTTAGTTGTTGGAGAAGGGATGTAGAGCTGTTTTGATTTCATGAATACATTCACCGGGTCAGGTTCATGAACAGCCAAGTTTGCCACAAATGACAGGAAATAATCCCTGATTGAGAACAGAGCTGTTCTGCTTCCATGTTAAACTTGTTTAATCATAACTAATCTGATTGAGCTGTTGAGATGACATGTATTTCACTGATGACAAGGCAGGAAAAAGATTTTATGTTTTGTTTTACATTACTGCATCAAATACAATGTTCATGTATCCAATATCGACATATCAACTGTTGGAAAATAAGAACTTATGGAAATCCCAATTGTGCACAAAATAGTGATTGTTCACCAATTTGCTTGCAAAATGAACATAGTTTAGTATATAAGATAAATTCCTGAAATAAGTGAAATAGCCATGAGTAGCCATGACATTGTTACTGTTTATATGGGAGCTTTGATGGTCAAGTTGTCATAGCCATTGCTGTGTAGAGTTACCTCCCTTATGCATACCAGAATTCTTTGATAACTGGAATACTGTTCATAGTGATGTTATACAAAACTTTGTGGGTCAATCTTGATTAACAGATACATATGTTTTTTATTTGTTTACAGGGGGCTTCAATATTTGTTACTGAGTGTATAATCAACAAAACTGTTTTGGCCTGTGATACATATGATAGTCTTGTTAATAACTGGCTGTTTTTTTTAAATAACATATTAAGCACATTATTAATAACACCTGTTATTCAGAAGTGTTTTTCAACATTTTTCATACACCGGTATAATCATGATTAGTTATCTAAATATGTGTATACTGAAATTACTATTTATGATGAATACAATCTTCTTTTACTGAAGAAATATTATATACAATTTCAAATAATCTAAATAGTTGTGTTCCAGGGTATGGGAATATGAAATGTACAATAAATCCCTTCGTTCAATAACCAGTTATGGCAATGATCTCATGCATATAGTGTGTATTCTGGACATGATTGTCATCAAAACCAATATTGTGGTAACCTTTGACTGCTTTTTTTATCCCACCGCATATAATGCGGTGGGGATATAGTCATCGCCCTCGTCCGTCTGTCCGTCCGTCCGTCCGTCACCACGCCATCCATCCGGTCCGTCCGTAATCATTTTGTTTCGACCATAACTCAAAGACCGCTTGATATTTTTAACCAAAATTGGTAGATATGTCAAACATAACCTAAGGTGGTGCCTTTTGCTATTTACAGATAATTGTCATTTTATTTTTCTCGGTTTCCATGGAAACGTTTTGGACTTAGTCTTAAAGAAGGGTGGGCTTCGCTTTCCTGAGCATAACTCAAGAACCATTCAATATTTTTCAACAAAACTTGGTAGATATATCAAACAGATCCTAAAGTTGTGCCTTTTACTATTTGCAGATTTTTGGCATTTTATTTTTCTTGGTTTCCATGGAAACATTTTGGACTTAGTCTCAAAAAGTAAGGATTGCTTTCGCTTCCGGAGCACAACTCAAAAACGTGATAATATTTTTCAACAAAACTTGGTAGATATATCAAACAGATCCTAAAGTTGTGCCTTTGCTATTTACAGATTTTTGCATTTTATTTTTCCCCGGTTTCCATGGAAATGATTCGACTTAATCCCAAAAGTGAGGGGTGGGCTTCGCTTTCCTCGAGCATAACTCAAGAACCGTTCAATATTTTTCAACAAGACTTGGTAGATATATCAAACAGAACCTTAAGTGGTGCCTTTTGCTATTTGCAGATTTTTGGTATTTTTATTTTTCCCGGTTTCCATGGAAACGATTCGGACTTAATCCCAAAAGTGAGGGGTGGGCTTCGTTTCCGGAGCATAACTCAAGAACCGTTCAATATTTTTCAACAAAACTTGGTAGATGTATGAAACAGAACCTTAAGTGGTGCCTTTTGCTATTTGCAGATTTTTGTCATTTTTATTTTTCCCGGTTTCCATGGAAACATTTTGGACTTAGTCTCAAAAAGTAAGGATTGCTTTCGCTTCCTCGAGCACAACTCAAAACCGTGATAATATTTTTCAACAAAACTTGGTAGATATATCAAACAGATCCTAAAGTTGTGCCTTTGCTATTTACAGATTTTGGCATTTTAATTTTTTTCCTGGTTTCCATGGAAACGATTCGGACTTAATCCCAAAAGTGAGGGGTGGGCTTCGCTTTCGGAGCACAACTCAAAACCTCTCTATATCTTTCAGCAAAACTTGGCAGATATGTGAGGCAGATCTTGAAGTGGTGCCTTTGCTATTTGCAGATATTTTGTGATTTATTACTTTCTCGGTTTCCATGGAAATGATTCGGACTTAGTCTCAAAAAGGAAGGGATGGGTTTCTGCTTCCGAACACAACTGGAAAACTTCTTAATATCTTTCAGCAAAACTTGGCAGATATGTCAGGCAGATGCCAAAGTGGTGCCTTTTGCTATTTGCAGATATTTGTAATTTATTATTTTCTCAGTTTCCATGAAAACAATTTGGACTTAGTCTCAAAAGGGAGGGGTAGGTTTTGTTTCGGAGCACAACCCGAAAACTTCTTAATATCTTTCAGCAAAACTTGGCAGATATGTGAGGCAGATCCCAAAGTGGTGCCTTTGCTATTTGCAGATTTTTGTCATTTATTTTTTCATGATTTCCATGGAAACGATTTGCACTTAGTCTAAAAATCAAGCTGGACTTTAAGTAACTGTCAGATGATTTGTTCTTTCAAAGATATGGGGGCCGGGGATATGTCATCTTCTGATGACTCTTGTTGTTCATATTTTGTTGCCATATGAGCTCCTTGTAGGGTATTGACTGTAGTATGGGATATTAATTTATCCCCTCGTAGGGATGATACGCATACATCAAATCTGTAATGAATTTTATTTGAATACACTTTGCATATGTACATAAAGTAATATAATTATTTAATCAAGAGAGTATATATTTTTGTGAAATGGGATGTAGGAAACAAATATTTTGCTGTGTCTTTAAATATTTAGATCTATGTCAGTTTGATTGCTGGATTAATACATTGTATCCGTGTACAAGGTTCTTCTTTCTGCTGAATGAAGAATAACAGGATATATATATTTATCTTACCTCACACATAAATGTCGCTTTCTGATTGGCTGAGCGCTCTTCTATTATTTTCAATTTACCCCCTTACAAGCGAGTTACATTTCAATGTACCCCGCTGTCAATGGCAACTCATTTGGTACTTCGTGGTAGTAATTCTTTATCTCGAATAACATTGAATCACTTATGATGTATGGAAATTACCGATGTTTTGCGAATGCAAATTGATGAAAGGGAGATAACTCTAAATCTGTTTTTCTTGTCAGCAAAATCTAACGATGGCTACAAAAAGATTTGTACCCGTGCTTCAAACAATTCAAAATTAACATTAAGGTGTTCGGTAAGATAAATACGTTGTTCACTGGTCCCTCGGGGCCCATGGGTTGTACCCTAGATGTTTGTTCGGGCTCAGGGAACATAAACAAACATCGAGGGTACATCAACCCATGCCCCCCTTGCGACCAGTGAACAACTTATAATGGTTTAAGAAAATAAGATTTATGTGCACACAGTAAATCATACATACATATGCTTTTGTGTGGAGATGAAATCTAAGCGTAAATCAGTAAACAGATTTTTAATCTTGTTTGTTCACTGTTTCTTTGTTGCCTCGTCCGTCTGTCTGTCCGCAATAATTTTGTTTCCGGAGCATAACTCAAAGACCGTTAGATATTTTTCAACAAAAATTGTCAGATATGTCAAACATAACCTAAGGTGGTGCTTTTTGCTATTTACAGATTATTGTCAGTTTTATTTTTGTCGTTTCCATGGAAACGTTTTGGACCTAGTCTTAAAGAGGGGTGGGCTTCGTTTCCAGAGCATAACTCAAAAACCGCTCAATATTTTTCAACAATACTTGGTAGATATATCAAACAGAACCTTAAGTGGTGCCTTTTGCTATTAGCAGATTTTTGGCATTTTTATTTTTCCCCGGTTTCCATGGAAACGATTCAGACTTAGTCCCAAAAGTTAGGGGTGGGCTTCGTTTCCGGAGCACAACTCGAAAACTTCTCAATATCTTTCAGCAAAACTTGGCAGATATGTCAGGCAGATCTTGAAGTGGTGCCTTTTGCTATTTGCAGATTTTTGTGATTTATTATTTTCTCAGTTTCCATGTAAACAATTCGGACTTAGTCTCAAAAGGGAGGGGTAGGTTTTGTTTCCGGAGCACAACGCTAAAACTACTTAATATCTTTCAGCAAAACTTGGCAGATATGTGAGGCAGATCCCAATGTAGTGCCTTTTGCTATTTGCAGATTTTTGTCATTTTTATTTTTCTTGGTTTCCATGGAAACGAGTCTCAAAAGGGCGGGGTAGGTTTCGTTTCCGGAGCACAACTCAAAAAGTTCTTAATATCTTTCAGTAAAACGTGGCAGATATGTGAGACAGATCTTGAAGTGGTGCCTTTTGCTATTTGCAGATTTTTGTCATTTATTTTTTTCATGATTTCCATGGAAACGATTTGCACTTAGTCTAAAATCAAGCTGGACTTTAAGTAACTGTCAGATGATTTGTTCTTTCAAAGATGTGGGGGCCGGGGGGATATGTCATCTTCTGATGACTCTTGTTATCTATTTGTTATTGCTAGAATGATCAATGTTCTCACTCATGACATAGAATATATTCCTTGTGTGGTTGGCCAATGATAATTGTTGGTGATTAGAATTACTTCACTTTCACTGGTCTTCTTGAGACTCAGGGGAGAGATGGACATTGGCAGATCTAGAAGAGATGAGGTGAGGTAAAATTGGATTTAACGTTGTGCTTGAGAATATTTCGCTCATATGACGAAGTGCATGCGTGTATGTGTATGTGCGGCTGCTTGTACTAGCCCAGACTGAAGCTGGTTTTATAGTGCTAGCCCACTGAGATACCATGCCGCAGTGAAGCATGAATACCCCACTCAGACACATTATACTGACTCCGAGCCGACCAGTCCTTGTACCCATTAATGCCGAGCGCCAGGCAGGGACCAACAAGTACCATATATTAACGTCTTTTGGTATGATTCAGTCGGGGATCGAACCCGCGACCTTCCACTCTACACCACGGAGGCGGTCAGATCTAGAAGAGAGGATCTAATTGTACATTCACATTGCTTTGTTTGTGAGGGTACAGTTATCCCTTCAAATTGCTCTGCTGGAGAATCCCAAGGATTACTTTTCACATGAATTTGCTCTGCTTGGGAATTATGTTAAGTTATGTATTTTGCTTTGTTCAGAAATCCTTATTGAGAGTTTCATTTATTGAGAGTATCATACAGATACTGTGTAGCCAATACATCATCATCCAGAAATATTAAATTGTCATCTTACATTGAAGCGGAGTTTGGCTGTTGATGAAATATTTTTTTATAATGTTCATATGTGCTATGAATCTTTTGTGTAATAAAAGTGCTATGAACTTTTTCTGTAATATATGTAGTATGAATCTTTTGTGTATTATATTTGGTATGATTCTATTTTGGTAATATATGTGGTATGAATATTTTCTGTAATGTATGTGGTATGAATCTTTTCTGTAATATTTGTGGTATGAATCTTTTCTGTAATGTATGTGGTATGAATCTTTTCTGTAATATTTGTGGTATGAATCTTTTCTGTAATATTTGTGGTATGAATCTTTTCTGTAATGTATGTGGTATGAATCTTTTCTGTAATATTTGTGGTATGAATCTTTTCTGTAATGTATGTGGTATGAATCTTTTCTGTAATATTTGTGGTATGAATCTTTTCTGTAATGTATGTGGTATGAATCTTTTCTGTAATATTTGTGGTATGAATCTTTTCTGTAATATTTGTGGCTATGAATCTTTTCTGTAATATTTGTGGTATGAATCTTTCTGTAATATTTGTGGTATGAATCTTTTCTGTGTATGTGGTATGAATCTTTTCTGTAATATTTGTGGTATGAATCTTTTCTGTAATGTATGTGGTATGAATCTTTTCTGTAATATTTGTGGTATGAATCTTTTCTGTAATATTTGTGGTATGAATCTTTTCTGTAATATTTGTGGTATGAATCTTTTCTGTAATATTTGTGGTA